TAGTAATAAGACTCGCGACGTAGTCGAGACGACTCCTAGCTGCAAAGTCGACTAGCTCAGTGACTAGGGCAAACGCAGCAGTAGACTCAAAGTCAGGGTCAGTGACCACAGTAGCGAGGAGACGAGTGACAGTAGGACTGGCAGCACGAGCAAGGTCGGACTTAGGGTCAGGAACGTGCGGAAGAGAGGACGCGGGAGGCTCAGGCAGGACAACACGCTATGGAACAGAGGAAGGACGAAGTGTCATACCGTGAGTGCCTGGGACAGCAGGAGGACGAGGACGGGCGACACGACGAGCACGAACAGGTGTGGAAGCACGAGTCTCAGGCTCACGACGCTCTGTCAGGGACTCAGTCACCTCAGCGTGAGGAGCAGGAGCAGACAGCGGGGAGCCAGGCATTAGCTGTGGCTGAGACTGGTCTGTCGGTGGACAAGAGAGAGGTGGAGTGAGGCCAGTGGAAGACGGGAGACTAAGAACCTGGCGAAGGGCTGAGTCAGGCGGTGGAAGGGACGACTGCGGCTGCGTGTAGAAAAACGGTCGGCGCGGCGCAGTACCCGTACCGGCAGCAGCTCCAGTACCTCCAGTACCTCCAGCTCCAGCGCCTCCAGTACCAGCAGCACCTCCAGCACCTCCAGCACCTCCAGCACCAGCAGCACCAGCACCTCCAGTGCCAGCAGCTCCAGCACCTCCAGCACCAGCTGTACCTCCACGACTAGCAGCTCCAGCACCTCCAGCACCAGTAGCACCTCCAGGACTGGTAGCTCCGGCATCTCCAGCACCAGCAGCACCTCCAGTACCTCCAGGACTAGCAGCTCCAGCAACTCCAGCACCAGCAGCACCTCTAGTACCTCCAGCACCAGCAGCACCTCTAGTACCTCCAGCACCAGCAGCTCCAAAAGCGGTAACACCGTAACCTCCACCACCAGGACGGCCGCGATGAACGATCCACTCACAAATCTGCTGCGGCGAGAGCGTCTCAAGTCGACTAGGCTGTCCAACTCCAGGACCTCCAGTAGGGTCACCCACGGCTCCACTGCCACTAGGACTCGCAGCACCCCCAGTAACAGCACCCCCAGTCGCAGCACCCCCAGAACCTGCACCCCCTGTCTCAGCACCCACATAACCCGCACCCCCTGTCGCAGCACCCCCAGAACCCGCACCCCCTGTCTCAGCACCCCCAGAACCCGCACCACCAGTGTCACCACCTGCAGCAGCACCAGAGTCCACAGCAGCAGGCTGCGGAGGCGGCGAAGACGGCCGAGGCGGAAAGCCAGGGGGGGTCTCCAAGCGTGGAGAGTGGCGAGTGGCCGCCGTGTCGTCAGCGGCGGGGTCACCCCCCTCAGCTGGGCCAGAGGAGTCAGAAGAGATCTCCAAAGGCTCAACCAAGGGGGGTGGGTCTACCTGAGACACACCTGAGGGAGCAGGACCCTGTGGGGGGAGGGGGTCTACCGGGGGGGGGACTGGTACCAGGAAGAGAGGCGCTAGGGGGACCGGGTGGGACGCGTGCGGGTGTAGCCTGTAGAAACAGACAGACTCGTCAAAGGTGACGTCCTGGGAGGAGAAGACTCGACGCGAGCGCGGGTGGTAGAACTGCCACGGCGGGCCGTCGGTGGGGAAGCCAAGGAAGATGCAGCGGAAAGTGCGAGAGGAGAGCTTGCTCGCTTTGGCATCGCGAACAAGGGAGAGCGCGCCCCAGACCCGAAACACCAACGCATCGCCAACCTTCCCCGTCCACTGGAGTGTGGGCGAGGTCTCTGGCTCAGAGACACGGGGCCAGAGGTTGAGCTGATGCGCAGCGTATCGAATCGCAAATGGCCACAGAAAATGGGGAGCAGCTGCATGGATCATGGAGGTACGAGCAACCTCCATGATCAAGCCAATGCGACGCTCAGCAATCCCATTTTGCTGAGGAGAGGCCGGAAGCGTGAATGTCTGGCGGATGCCCTCGTATCGACAGAACTCCTCAAGGAGGCCAGAAGAGAACTCACCGCTCCTGTCAGAGTGCAGACGCAGGACCGGCAAGTCCCGCCGAAACCGGTCGCGCAGCTAGCGACGAGTAGTACGGATCCAGGGGATCAAAACACCGCTGACGTCCGCCTTGCGCCGCAAGGGGAAGACGGTGGTGTAGCGTGTGTAGTCGTCAACAACCAGCAGGAAGTAGCGCTCCTGGTCCGTTCCACATCCATGTGAAGCGTCTGCAGAGGAGCAGTGGTCGGAGGAAACTCAGAGGAGTGAGGAGCGGCGCGCTGCCGCCCCTCGACGCAAGGAAGGCACGGCGGGGCAGGCGAGCGCGGGAGGGGGGGCAGGGACCTGGGAAGGCCAGAGACAAGGAGACGGGAGTGCATGCTGCGGAGACGCGGCAGCGAAGTGTGACCGAGGCGGTGGTGCCAAAGGAGAGTCTGGCGGGAGAGTAACCGACACGAGCAAGACGCTGCAAGCTGACCAGACGCAGATACCTGACTCGACGCAGTCGCCTGACCTGACGCAGCCACCTGTGCAGACTGAGTGGTCAGTGTGCACAGACCGGAACCAGGCTGACGAGTGAACGTAGCAAGGTGACGACTAGTCCGTGAGCATGTACAGATCGCCACAGGCTGTCCTCCAGGAATAAAGGTATCAACCCATACATCATGGAGAACTGCGTTGCTCAACAAGTTCGTCGAGAACGCGGGGAGGTGGAGACCTGAGAGAGACCCGGAGGGGATCGCCGGACACGGGAGGACAGTGGAGGCTCGCGCGACTACTGGGCCCCCAGTGGGGTCAGCCAGTGAAACTGGGACAGGTGCTGCGAGTGGTGCGACTGTGGTGCAATCACGAAAGAAGCAATGTGACGCGCCTGAGTCAAGTGTGAAAGTGTGCAAGGCCTCAGCTGAGGCAGGACCTGTGGCTGTAGACGCACTAGCACCGAGAGCGGCGCTAGAATCACGAGCACCTAGAGCTGCAGCAGACTCACTAGCACCTAGAGCAGCAGCCTCTACACAACCAGGGACGCATCGCTGAGAAGCACAGTCATGAAGCCGCTGCAGGGAGAAGGTGCCCTGCGGACGCTGCTGCCGCCGCTATGCAGTACCCATAAAACCAAAACCTCCACCACCAGGACTGCCTCGCTGAATAACCCACTCACGAAGCTGCTGAGGGGTGGGGTTGTCCGGGAGAGGCAGTGACTGATGCTGTCCACCCCTAGCCGCTGCGACTACCGTGATAGTGGCCATGACAGGCAGTGACAGCCAGTAGCAGCACCTCCAGCACTCCCGGCAGCACCTCCAGACAGCTCCGGCACTCCCAGCAGCACCTCCAGCACCTCCAGCACCAGCAGTAGTGCCAGTAGTTGCAGCAAGGGCGCAGGAGCGCAGGCGGCAGCAGTAGCTTATCAGCAGCAGTAGCAGCAGCAGCAGCACGAGCAGCAGCAGCAAGAGTAGTAGCAGGGCGGCTCGGTGGCGCTGGCGAAGGAGGCAGGGCGGCGCGGCTCGGGATGGGCAGCGCAACTCGGGCTGGGCGGCGCGGCTCGGCCTGGGCGGCGCGGCTCGGCAGGGCTGGGCGGCGCGGCTGGGCAAGGCAGGGCGCGCTGGGCAGCTGGGCGCGCGCTGGGCAGTGCAGCAGGGCGCGACGCGCTGGGCTGCAGCAGGGCGCAACGCGCGGGGCAGCAGGGTGCGACACACGGGCTGCAGCAGGGCGCGACACGCTGGGCAGCAGGGCGCAACGCGCGGGCTGCAGCAGGGCGCGACGCGCGGGGCAGCAGGGTGCGACGCGCAGGCTGCAGGACGACGCGCGGGCTGCAGCAGGGCGCGACGCGCAGGGCAGCGGGGCGCGCACTGGGCAGGGCAGCAGGGCGCGACGCGCTGGGCTGCAGGGCAGGGCGGTGCGCGGGCCTAAGGGCAGGGCAGCGCGGCTCGCGAGCTGCAGGGCAGGGCGACGCGCGGGCCTAAGGGCAGGGCAGCGCGATGCACGGGCTGCAGGGCAGCTGGGCGCGGGCTGCAGGGCAGGGCGGCGCGCGCTGGGCAGGGCAGCAGGGCGCAACGCTCAGGCTGCAGCAGGGCGCGACGTGCGGGCTGCAGGGCGCGACGTGCGGGCTGCAGGGCGCGACGCGCGGGCAGCAGTGGGGCGCGACGCGCGGGCTGCAGCAGGGGAGCGCGCTAGGGCTGGCAGCGCGCGTGGCAGCAGGGCAGCGCGACACTTTGCGAGCAGGGCAGGACAGCGCAAGGGCGCTTCGGGCAGGAACGAGCGGAACTATCGGTGGGCCCTAAAAACTTAACAGGTTTCCTGCTCTGATACCATGTCAGAATAATATGTGCAGGAATGATGAATGACTAGCAACAGAGAGATAGAAGTATGAAACCCTAACTGGGGTTGTACTCTATACTGAGCACCTCACTGTAGCCTAGCAGAACTAGGAACATACATATATGTTTTGACATACAGTTCTTTAAAGCCCGAGTACAGCATGGTAATTTTCAAGTTCAAGATTCTTGAACTTGAAGTCGCCAAAAACAGGGTTACCCTGCTTGTTTTGAAAAAACTCTCGCGACCCCAGGCAATCGTCCTGCGACAACGGAACCCGAGTGCCCAAAACCAGAACTGACGCGATGATCGCCAACCATATGCACTGTTCACCACTCACATAACTTGCTTACCAAGTAGTACTCATAGGCTAGGAGGCTCCAAGGCAAAAACTAGCGCTAGTTGGCAAAAGCGAGTCGTTGATAGGTTTTTTTTTGTGCGGAAAGAAATATAAGTCCACCTCAACCATCTTAGTCAGTGCACGCTCCGATCTCTCCCTCGCGTCACCAGTCTCGTGTTACAACCCGGGCACCCACGGCACTTACGTTAGTAAACGAGATTCGCGTTACTCGAGTCTTGCATTCAAGCTCGCGTCGCACACGCAGGCTCTTGTCACACTTGCTGCGGTTCAGTCTCGTGCCACGATCGTACCGTTTTAGGCACGGGTCGCTCACGCGAATGCTGTAGTGGTTCGCGTGACGCACTCAGCCGTTAGTCGCACATGTTCCTCCTCGTCGGCCGCTCTTTCCCACGTCAGACCGCTTTCCTCGTCGCCCGCGCTTTCCCTCATCACCCTCCCCGACCCTCTGGTCGCATATGTTCCCCTAGTCGCCCGCGCTTTCCCACGTCAACCACACATCCCCTCGTCGCAATTGCTGATAGTAAACATACCGCGCTTCAGATCGTCACCCGCGCTCCCCTCATCACCCTCGTCGACCCGCACCGATCCTCGCCGCCCTCACCTCCCTTAGTCACCCACATTCCCTCTCGTCGCTCGCGCTTCCCCTCATCACCCTTGCCGACCCTCGCCGCCCTCGCCTCCCCTCGTCGCCCGCGCGTCCCGTCGTCGGGCTTGCCTCCCAGTCACTCGCGCTTCCCCTCGTCATACGCGTTTCCATCCGCTCTTCCCATCTCACCATCTCCAGCCCGCCCTTCCTCATTCCTTCCGAAGGGGTGGGACAGAGGGGGAGGAACAGATGGGGAGGAACATATGGGGAGGAACAGATGGGGAGGAACAGATGGGGAGGAACAGATGGGGAGGAACAGATGGGGAGGAACAGATGGGGAGGAACAGATGGGGAGGAACAGAGGTGGTCGCTTCCGCCACCACAATCGAACAGCGTTTCGATCCCCTCTCTGCTCCCCACCATCCTCCCCCCAACTCTCTCCCCGGCATCTGCCCCCGTTCCCCCCATCCTCTTCCCTGTTTCCCCGTATCCCCTGCCGTGCTTCCCCCCATCATATCCCCTCTTACCCCGTATCCCCTGCCCTGCTTCCCCCCATCCCTTCCCTGCTTCCCCCCATCCCCCTCCCTGTTTCCCCCCATCCCCTTCCCTGCTTCCCCTCATCCCCTTCCCTACTTCCCCCCATCCCCTCCCCTGCTTCCCCCCATCCCCCTCCCTGCTTCCCCCCATCCCCCTCCCTGCTTCCCCCCATCCCCTTCCCTGCTACTTCCCATCCCTCCCCCTGCTTCCCCCCATCCCCTTCCCTGCTTCCCCCCATCACCTTCCCTGCTTCCCCCCATCCCCTCCCCTGCTTCCCCCCATCCTATCCCCTCTTACCCCATATCCCCTGCCCTGCTTCCCCCCATCCCTTCCCTGCTTCCCCCCATCCCCCTCCATGTTTCCCCCCATCACCTTCCCTGCTTCCCCTCATCCCCTTCCCTGCTTCCCCTCATCCCCTTCCCTGCTTCCCCCCATTCCCTCCCCTGCTTCCCCCCATCCCCCTCCCTGCTTCCCCCCATCCCCTTCCCTGCTACTTCCCATCCCTCCCCCTGCTTCACCCCATCCCCTCCCATGCTTCCCCCCATCCCCTTCCCTGCTTCCCCCCATCACCTTCCCTGCTTCCCCCCATCCCCTCCCCTGCTTCCCCCCATCCTATCCCCTCTTACCCCGTATCCCCTGCCCTGCTTCCCCCCATCCCTTCCCTGCTTCCCCCCATCCCCCTCCCTGTTTCCCCCCATCCCCTTCCCTGCTTCCCCTCATCCCCTTCCCTGCTTCCCCCCATCCCCTCCCCTGCTTCCCCCCATCCCCCTCCCTGCTTCCCCCCATCCCCCTCCCTGCTTCCCCTCATCCCCTTCCCTGCTTCCCCCCATCCCCTCCCCTGCTTCCCCCCATCCCCCTCCCTGCTTCCCCCCATCCCCTTCCCTGCTACTTCCCATCCCTCCCCCTGCTTCTCCCCATCCCCTTCCCTGCTTCCCCCCATCCCCTGCCCTGCTTCCCCCCATCCCCTTCCCTTCTTCCTCCCATCCCCTTCCCTCCTTCCTCCCATCCCCTTCCCTGCTTCCCCCCATCCCCTTCCCTGCTTCCCCCCATCCCCTTCCCTGCTTCCCCCCATCCCCTCCCCTGCTTCCTCCCATCACTCTCATTCTCCTTCCTCCTGCACTCACTCTCTCAGTCCTCTCGCACTCTCTCTCTCTCTCTCTCTCTCTCTCTCTCTCTCTCTCTCTCTCTCTCTCTCTCTCTCTCTCTCTCTCCGTCCTCTCGCACTCGCACTCTCCTTCCCGCCACCCTCAGCCCTCCTTCCCCTCACCCTCTCCCCTGTTCCCACCTGCCCTCCCCTTCCCTGCTTCCCCCCATCCCCTCCCCTGCTTCCCCCCACCCCCCTCCCTGCTTCCCCCCATCCCCTTCCCTGCTACTTCCCATCCCTCCCCCTGCTTCCCCCCATCCCCTTCCCTGCTTCCCCCCATCCCCTGCCCTGCTTCCCCCCATCCCCTTCCCTCCTTCCTCCCATCCCCTTCCCTCCTTCCTCCCATCCCCTTCCCTGCTTCCCCCCATCCCCTTCCCTGCTTCCCCCCATCCCCTTCCCTGCTTCCCCCCATCCCCTCCCCTGCTGCCTCCCATCACTCTCATTCTCCTTCCTCCCGCACTCACTCTCTCAGTCCTCTCGCACTCTCTCTCTCTCCGTCCTCTCGCACTCGCACTCTCCTTCCCGCCACCCTCAGCCCTCCTTCCCCTCACCCTCTCCCCTGTTCCCACCTGCCCTCCCCATCCCCGCCTTTCCCTCCCTGCCCTGCCCTTCCCTTCTCCATCCCTTCTCAACCCTTCCCTTTCATGTCATGCCCTCCCCTTCCCCCTCACCTTCCGCCCTCTAGTTCCCATGCATGTGCACCCATCACTGTCTCCCCATACCAGTACATGCTTTCATCATGTGCGCTTGCTTGTGTTCCCCTGCAGTTGTTCCCTTGGCACCTCACACCACCCCCACCATGTTCCGTCACACAATTCTTTCTGCCTACTCCACTCCCCAAATTTTCAGTGGTGAAGCAGAGGAGCAAGCTGAGGCGCAGCTAGAGCTAGTCCATGCTTTACACCGTACCACCACCTGTTTCTTGCCTGTTGTATGCAAGCATGATACTGTATTACTGTTGGAGATATCCATCTCAAAAGCACAATATGTAATTTTGTTTCTGTAGTGCAATATATTCTTCCAAGATGCATGGGCACTAAGAGTGTCAGAAGGGTAGATAGAGGCATGATCCTGATACTTTTGATTGTACCCTTCTCAAGGCCTTGAAAAAAACATGAGGGGAACTGGTTTCACTACGAGCGTGGCATGGGATGATGGGCTTCGGCGAGTTGCTGTGCCAGAAAATCTTCATTGGTGTCACTGCACTACCCAGGGAGAGGGAGGGAATACGAGGGATGGGGAGGGGGAACAAGACTAAAGTCAAACAGGGGAGATAGGGAAGAGGGGGAAGAGGGAAGCAGGGCTGAGAGGGAAAGAAGGAAGTACCGTAAGAAGAGGGAGGGAAATGAGGGGAAGCAAGGGGGGAACTGAGGAGAAGCAGGGAGGGAAATGTGGGGAAGCACGGATGAGGGGAAGAAAGGGTGGGCCATGGGCCTAGAGGGCCGTGAGAGAGGGGGGGGGGTGGACTTGAGGGACGGGAGTGGCAGGCTGGAGGGGAGCAGGAGAGGAGGAGGGGAGTGGCATGGGGAGCAGAGCAGAGCAGCATTGCGACCTGCCTGCAGCGTCATCCCCCACGGCGGAGATGAGGAGCGGAGAGTGCTGCCATGCACTCCGCTATGTTGTGCGCCACCCCCCCTGCGAGGAGGAACAGGGGAATGGCGCGGCTGGCAGAGAGAAAGGAAGGAGGAGGGGGGGAGGGGGAGAGGGGGAGGGGCGGGACACACATGAGAGGTTGAGACATGCCGCAGTGGACGACACTCCCCCCTCGAATTCCTTTCTCCTGCCCTCCCTCCCTGCCTCATGCGGGAGGAAGAAAACGGGTGGGGGAAAGGGAGGAAGGGGACAACCATGAGGGGTAGGGGTTGGAAAGGGGCGGGGGCGGGTGGAGGTTTGGCGAGAAGGGGAATAGGAACCAGAGGATAGGGCGCAGAGCATTGGGCGCAGAGCATAGGGCGCAGAGCATAGGGAGTAGAGCATAGGCGCAGAGCATAGGGCGCAGAGCATAGGGCGCAGAGCATAGGGCGCAGAGCATAGGGCGCAGAGCATAGGGCGCAGAGCATAGGGCGCAGAGCATAGGGCGCAGAGCATAGGGCGCAGAGCATAGGGCGCAGAGCGCAGGGCGCAGAGCGCAGGGCGCAGAGCGCAGGGCGCAGAGCGCAGGGCGAAGAGCGCAGGGCGCAGAGCGCAGGGCGCCGAGCGCAGGGCGCAGAGCGCAGGGCGCAGAGCGCAGGGCGCAGAGCGCAGGGCGCAGAGCGTAGGGCGCAGAGCGTAGGGCGCAGAGCGCAGAGCAGAGGGGGAAGAGCGCAGGGGGCGGAGGGGGCAGAGCGCAGGGGGCAGAACGCAGAGCGGAGGGGGCAGAACGCAGAGCGCAGGGGACAGAGCGCAGGGGGCAGAACGCCGGGGGCAGAACACAGAGCGCAGGGGGCAGAGCGCAGAGTGCAGGGGCGCGGAGCACGTGTACCTATCCTGGCGTGGTGGTGCCTCGTTCCAGCGCCCTCTCCACGCTGCTTGTCGACCAGACCAGTGCGCGCGCTGGACGTTTGCGGGTCGACGCGCTGCTAGACGACCAGTGAAGTTTGCGTAACCCTAAGGGTCTGCGTAGTGTGGACGCCCCACAGCGTGGAATTGCCCTAAGTAATAGGCACTTTCGAGCCCAGTTTACGGGAGCAATGCCCCGAAACCGTCGACCTACGTGCTGCCAGTGGTAATCGACGTGCCTAATACAATACGAAGTACTCCCATATCGCGCGATGCCGAGTTCTTCTCAACGCTCCTTCCTGCGACCCAGCATGTACGTGTTCTGGCTCGTCACCTACGTCACCTCCTTCCTGCGGTTATTTCACACGTGAAGTTGTTAGCTTGATTGATCATGGTGTTTTTCTCCTCACTCGTTCTGAGGTTGTTGGTGCTTCCCGTTTTCGTTTTTGCTAGTAGTTGCATTGGGCGAGGATGTTCTCCACTTCTTGATCCTGATTGGTCAAAGAACAATCCGTGCGACACTCCTTCCAGTCGCCCCACACTGCCCTGCAAGTTTGTCAAAGCTTTGCGTTTGGCGAGACCCCTTTCCTCCTCATCAATCAATCGCTTTTTCGCTACACTGACTATGCCGAAATAATTGTTTTTCAGGTTTCGCCAACACTATTTCAAACCCACATAACTTGATAAAACACCATGTGGTACTCGGGCACCTTATCACCCTAAGTTGAAAATTTTATAACCTCTACACTGCATGCTGGCTTAGCTGTTGAAGATTCGATTTCCCAACATTTTTTTAAAATTTAAATGTATTCTATATAGCGTCCAAATATTCGTGCAAAAGCACATCAACTGTAAGCTCAGCTCTTTGCATTCGTCACGAACAATTTTCAAGTGAAACTGTAATTTGGTTGCTTTTCATCCCTTATTTAATAGGCTCGCCAAAAATTAACCACAAAAACACTCATGCTGCGTTTATGAGTCTTCCCTCATCGGGAATTGGCCTCGAGGTTGCCCCCAACGGAATGCAAAGCTTCAGTGGTTCCGTGATTTTCTACAAGGGAGGAGTGAGGGTTGTTGGGTTCGGAGCATTGCCACATTCCCGCCACCTTCACGCGAGCTTCATCTGTTCAGTGTTTTTTGGAAGACAAAAACAGGTGGAAATGGCAGGAGTTGCTGCGGTTTTCGCGCCTGCTCTAGCGTTGCTCCCTCCTCGCACTGCACGCGAGACGGCGAGGCTTCATTCTCGTCATTTGTCGGCTTCTCCTGATTCCAGCACCAGGAAGCATCGTCAGTCGACTCGTTCGCGCGCCGGACGCTCGCTTTCGCACCAGCCGCGAAATGCGGGGAATGGCCCGGCATTCCGAACACGCACACCCGAGACGCGTTTCCTCACCGGCGAATCCCTAACGCCAGCATTGCTCTCCAGCTTTAGTTCCTCTCACAGCTTTAATCGCTCTAGGCTCGCCGTTTCTCGCGGTCCGGTTGCCGTGAAGGCCGCTGACGGGGGATTCGTTGCAGCAGCGGCAGTCGCGGCGGATTTGGCGGTGGGGAAGAGCGCGAAAGCAGCGGAGTTCGAGCGGACGCCCGGATGTCGGCGATACGTGTACCACGTGGAGGGGGGTGGGCAGGTGAGTGGGCAGGGGAGGTGAGAGGGGAGGATAAAAGTTGATTCAACGTTGTTGGAGTGTCGGCGATACGTGTACGTACCACGTGGAAGGGGGAGGGCAGGTGAGAGGGCGGAGGGTAGGTGAGAGACGGGAGACAAATGTCCCTTGATCAATAGGAGAAATGGGAATATGTCAAGTGTCTCTTGATTGCATGGTGAGAGCGAGTGCAGAGAGGGAGTGCAGAGAGGGAGTGGGAGTGCAGAGAGGGAGTGCAGAGAGGGAGTGCAGAGAGGGAGAGCGAGTGCAGAGAGAGAGAGCGAGTGCAGAGAGGGAGAGCGAGTGCAGAGAGGGAGAGCGAGTGCAGAGAGGGAGAGCGAGTGCAGAGAGGGAGAGCGAGTGCAGAGAGGGAGAGCGAGTGCAGAGAGGGAGAGCGAGTGCAGAGAGGGAGAGCGAGTGCAGAGAGGGGGAGCGAGTGCAGAGAGGGAGAGCGAGTGCAGAGAGGGAGAGCGAGTGCAGAGAGGGAGAGCGAGTGCAGAGAGGGAGAGCGAGTGCAGAGAGGGAGAGCGAGTGCAGAGAGGGAGAGCGAGTGCAGAGAGGGAGAGCGAGTGCAGAGAGGGAGAGCGAGTGCAGAGAGGGAGAGCGAGTGCAGAGAGGGAGAGCGAGTGCAGAGAGGGAGAGCGAGTGCAGAGAGGGAGAGCGAGTGCAGAGAGGGAGAGCGAGTGCAGAGAGGGAGAGCGAGTGCAGAGAGGGAGAGCGAGTGCAGAGAGGAAGGAGTGGACGTGGAAGGAGCTGTTGAGCTGTCTGTGACCTGTCTCAGAATGATTAGTTATTTTGTTATAGAACTCTCAAGAACCGAGAAGCGGGCTGTTCTCCGCACCCTGACTCGTCTCACGTATGCAGGTGGCAGTACGTGGGGGAGCGCAATGGGTGCTGCTGACTCTTCAGCCAACTCAACACCCACCTACCCCCTTCGCCCACTCCCTTCCTCCATCCACACCCACACACCCAGGTGACAGCATACGTGGGGGAGCGCAATGGGTGCTGCTGACTCTTCAGCCAACTCAACACCCACCTACCCCCTTCGCCCACTCCCTTCCTTCATCCACACCCACACACCCAGGTGACAGCATACGTGGGGGAGCGCAATGGGTGCTGCTGACTCTTCAGCCAACTCAACACCCACCTACCCCCTTCGCCCACTCCCTTCCTCCATCCACACCCACACACCCAGGTGACAGCATACGTGGGGGAGCGCAATGGGTGCTGCCGATACTCGAGTCAACTGAAAGCCCACCGACCCCCCTTCCCCCCCCCCCCTCACCTCCCCCCCCCCCCCCTTCCACATCCACACGAGCAGGTGACAGCATACGTGGTGGAGCGCAACGGGTGTTTCGACGTGCTGCTGGACGTGGCTGCTGCCCACATGCAGTGCCGCCACGACCTGCCACTCTGCATCCACTGGGTACGTCCCTCTGCCTGCCTTTCTGCCTGCCTGTGTGCCTTACCGTCTGCCTGTCTGCCTGCCTGTCCGTGTGTCCGGCTGCGTGTCCGTCCATCTGTCCGTCCGTCCGTCCGTCCGTCCGTCCGTCCGTCCGTCCGTCCACCTGTACGGCTGTCTCCCACCGTTCATTGTGTTTCCACTGACGTGCTGCTGGACGTCGCCGCTGCTCACATGCAGTGCCGCCAAGACCTGCCGCTCTGCATCCACTGGGTACGTCCCTCTGCCTGTCCGCCTGTCCGTCTCTCTCCCACCGCTCATTGTGCCTCGACTTGACGTGCTGCAGGACGTGCCTGCTGGCCCGCTGGCCCGCTGTCCACATGTCCACATGCACTGCAACCACACCACCCGCTGTCCACGTGTCCACATGCACTGCAACCACACCAGTTGTTGCTCTGCCTCTCTCTCCAACACCTGTCGTTGGGTCGGTCCGACACCTTGAGCGCCTGGTTGCATCTCTCGACTTTTGAGGCGCCTCAAAAGACACCTTGAGCGCCTGGTTGCATCTCTCGACAAGATGCTGTTGTACTTTGTGAGAATTCTCAAGAGTAACACCATCATCAGTTATTCCATGCCTGTCATCACTCACCTCCTCTCCTGCCTCTCATATTCTCCAATCTCCCACTCTACCCTGCTGTGATTCTCTGACTCTGCATATTCCCCGCCCCGCCTCTCCCCCTCCTCTCCCCTCCCTCCCTCCCCCACCACAGGACATATTCTGCTCGGATCGCTCCACGTGGTTCCTCCTCAACGACTCCCTCCATACACCGCCAGGCACCGTCTTTGAGATTTCTGGAAAACATCCCTCACCCCTCCTCCGTCCCCCCTCTTCCTGCCCCAGGGCATATTCCGCTCGGATCGCTCCACGTGGTTCCTCCTCAATGACTCCCAGACGCCGCCAGGCACCGTGTTCCTGAGAGGAAAGTGAGTTGTGCGGCTGCCGCTGCCGCTGCGGCTGCCGCTGCAACTGCCGCCGCCGCCGCCGCCGCCGCCGCCGCCGCCGCTGCTGCTGCAGGAGCAGAACGAGCTATGCCTTGTGTATATAGCAGAAACTTTACCAACGATTCGCATGCCCTATCCTTTTCCCCAGACCCCTAACCGCTCCCCAAGTCGCTCGCGGTTAACCCTATCTCCCCCACTTCCCTCATTCTCCCCCCCACCACTCCCAAACGACCGACGCCATGCGCACGGTGCCACAGGACGACCCCACGCTCGGCTGCTGCCCCCGGGTGCTCTTACAACCTCCTTTCCCCGTTCCTCTCCCCCCCCTCTACCCCTCTCTCTCCACTCCCAAACGACCGACGCCATGCGCACGGTACTGCAGGAGGACTCTACGCCCGGCCACCGCTCGCTGCTGCTCTCCCAACGCCGCTCCCCTCTCTCCCCGCTCCACTCTCCCTCTTCCTCCCTCCCTTGAAGGACGGACGCCATGCGCACGGTACTGCAGGATGATCCCACGCCCGGCCACCGCTCGCTGCTGCTCTCCTTTGACGCGGAGCTCGCCCCCTTCTCCCTCAACTTCGTGCTCTTCCAGCCGCTGCCTGGCACGGCCATCGGAAACAAGTCGCTGGAAGGGCTCTGGCTCAGGTGAGTGAGGGTTAGTGGGGTGTGTGTCTCTCGCCTCGCCCCCTTCTCCCTCAACCTCGTGCTCTTCCAGCCGCTGCCTGGTGCTGCTGGCAGCGGCATCGGAAACAAGTCCCTCGAAGGGCTCTGGCTCAGGTGAGCGGTGAAGGGCTGGGTCTGGGAGGGCTGAAGTAGCCATGTGACTTGGGTGAGTGTCTCGCCTCGCCCCCTTCTCCCTCATCCTCGTGCTCTTCCAGCCACTGCCTGGAGTGGGTGGGGGTGGCATCGGAGACAACTGATCGGTGAGAAAGAAATGACTTGTGTGTGCCCATCGGCATGGGGTGGGGCAGGGCCCACCCTGCTGCACGCTGTTCCCTTGCTTACTCCCCTCCTCCCCTTCTTCTGCCCCCCCCTTTACCCCTTCCCCCCCTCTCCCTTCCAACTCAGGAATTCCCTGCAGATGGATCTGTGTGTGCCCATCGGCATGGGCCGCGGCAGCGCCAGCCCTCTGGGAGCCACTCCCAATGCGGACGGGTCGGTGAACTTCGCCCTTTACTCACGATACGCCGAGGGCGTCGTGCTCTGCCTCTACCTGCCTGACGACGCCGAACCCACGGTGGGGAGCATGGTTTGGGTTGAAGAGTGAAAGTTTTGGTGAATCCCATCTCCGTCCCTCTCCCCAAAACACCCGCCGTGCGTTGTACAGCTGTAGATAAATCTGAAGTCGTCCATCCATTCACCACTCATGTTGCTGCATCTTTTCTCAACACCCTTCCTTCCCCCTTTTACCCTCCAAACGAATTGCCCCGCCCCACCGTGCCCTGAGCAGCTGGAAATCGATCTCGAGCCGTCCATTCATCGCACGGGGGATGTGTGGCACGTCAGCATTGATGCTGCTGACGTCAGCAGCTTCACGCGCTACGGGTACCGGGTGCAGGTGAGTGAGGCGGCACGGGTGGGATGGTTTGACATGCATGGGTGTGTATGTATGTGTGCAGTGCATGCAGTGCAATGACCATGCGCAGAAGTGTATGTATGCAAGAGTGGATGTGGACAATTGACATGGCATGGCATAGTATGTCTGCCAGTTGCACACTGTGCATGTCTTAAGAGAGGGTAGGGCATACGGGTAGGGTGGTGATGTGCTTCCAATCAATCATCCACATCCGCACCACACCTACCAGGCCAACGAGGCGCATCAGGAATCACCTTTCCTTTCTCGTGCTGTGATCTGTTGAGCACTGTGCAACGTCTTCCCTTCCTGTTTCATGCTCTGACCTGGTCTGATCCTCACCGTGCGCTCTGCACTCTGTGTGTGCCCTTCGTGACCCGTGCTGTGATAACTCCTCCTCCTGCCTGCACTCTGTGTCTATCAGGGCGACCCTGACTGGGAGGGCGGAAACCGTTTCCATTCCCGTTTTGAGACGTCTCAAACACCGTGCGCTCTGCTCTGCTTTGCACTCTGTGTCTATCAGGGCGACCCTGACTGGGAGGGTGGAAACCGCTTCCATTCCCGCCTTGTGCTCATGGACCCCTACGCCAAGGAGATGGCCGACCACGTGCCCGGCCAAGGTACGCTGACGGCCAAGGTATGCTGACGTGGCAGGGCATTGTGTGTCTCAGGGTGACCTTGACTGGGAGGGCAGCAACCCCCCTTGTGCTCATGGACCCCTACGCCAAGGAGATGGCCGCCCACGTGCCCGGCCAAGGTGTGCTCACGTGACAGGGCAAGTTATGCTGACGTGGCAGGGCAAGTTATGCTGACGTGGCAGGGCAAGTTATGCTGACGTGGCAGGGCTGGGCATGATGACGTGGCAGGGCTAGGCATGCCAACGTGGCAGGGCTAGGTATGCTCAGGTATGGCCAGAACGTGGATATTAGACGTAGGTGTGGCAGGGCAAGGAGATGGTCATGCTGACGTGGCTGCTGCTGGACATGCTAAGAATGCCACGTGAACTTCAACTTCCTTCATATACGTGCCCGCCTGCATCAGCTTTGTTCATCCTCTCTTGCCCTAATTCCTCCCTTCTCCCCTCCCTACTCTTTCCCCTCCGTTTCTCTTCTCCTTCCCCTCGCCTCGCCTCTGCAGCCTGTCTCTTGCCATCCCACCAGAGGACCTGCCATCGCCAGCAGCGGCGCTGGCAGTCATCCCCACCATGCAAGAGCCGCCCTTACCCCCTCCCCTCTGACCTACCTGTGTCTCTGTGTCCCTGTGCCCCTGTGCCCCTGCAACCTGCTTCCCACCGTCCCACCAGAGGACCTGCCATCGCCAGCAGCAGCGTTGGCATTGGCAGTCATCCCCACCATGCAAGAGCCGCCCTTTTCGTCTGACCCAACGACTTCCCTTTTCCCCCTTCCTCTCGCTTTGGCCCTCCAACCTGCCTCTGCCCGTGCAATCTGCCTACCTCCTGCCACCCCACCAGAGGACCTACCGTCGCCAGCAGCGGCGTTGGCAGTCATCCCCACCATGCAAGAGCCGCCCTTCGACTGGCAGGACGACTTTCCCCCCAAGTAAGCCCACTGCCCGCCTCGCCCGCCTCTTGTTTGAGAAGGGCAGAACGCCTCTTCTTCTCAAGTGAGTACTGTGGCACACTCTGCTATCCCTCACGCTGCTTCGCCTCACGCGCTGCTTCACCTCGTTTGGTTCCGTTTCAGCTCGATGACGCTCTCCCCCCTGTCACTGCATAACCTCTTCTCGACCAGCGTGTGCCGCTGCTCTCGCCCTCCCTTGCCCGCCAGCATCCCATCGGAGCAGCTGGTGGTGTACCGTCTCAACGCAACAGCCTTCACGGCAAAAGAAGCAGCAAGGGGAGTGGGCAGTGGGCGTGTGCTCATTAGTGTAACCAACCCTTCTCCTGCCTGTCTGCCTGCCTCCCTCCCTTGCCCGCCAGCATCCCATCAGAGCAGCTGGTGGTGTATTGCCTCAACGTGGCGGCCTTCACAGCAGATTACAGCAGCAGCAGCTACGGGCATGTGCTTGTACGCGAATAGCTTACCCTTTGCCTCCCTCGCCACCCCTTCTTCTCTCCTGCTCCTGCCAGCATCCCATCGGAGCAGCTGGTGGTGTATCGCCTCAACGTGGCAGCCTTTACAGCAGACGAGAGCAGCGGGGTGAGCGAGGCGGGGCGGGGCACGTTTCAGGGCGTGCTGGAGAAGGTTGACCACCTGCTGGCGCTGGGTGAGTGTGGAGAGGTCTAGTCTAGTGGGGCTGGGCTCGAGAGTGGCACCCAGCAGGCCAAGCCAAGGCATGTTCCAGGGCGTGCTGGAGAAGGTTGACCACCTGCTGGCGCTGGGTGAGTGCGTGTGCGGGAGCTCTAGGGCCTGGGCTTTAAGGTTCTGGGTTTGGGGTTTAAGACAGCACGCGGTCATGAGGCAGGCAAAGCCGGGGCACGTTCCAGGGCGTGCTAGAGAAGGCCGACCACCTGCTGGCACTGCGTGAAAGGTTTTGGGTTCAGGGGCTCGGCTCGACGGGCTGGGCTTTAAGTTAAGGTACTGGTCTTGGGGCTTAGGACAGCAGCGGGGTGAGTGAGCCAGGGCGAGTCACATTTCAGGGCGTGCTGGAGAAGGTGGACCACCTGCTGGCGCTGCATGAGAGATCCTGGGTTCAGGGACTGTGCTCAAGGTTTAGGATATAAGGTTGAAGGTTTTGTACAGCAATGGGTGCAGCAGCAGTCTCCCTTGCTTATGTCCTGCTTTGGCCAGGCAGGCAGCCCATGTTTCGAGACGTCTCAAAACGAGGTGACTTTTGAGTCGACTCAAAAGTCACCTCGTTACAATGCCACACGACACTTATGTCCTGCTTTGGCCAGGCAGGCAGCCCATGTATCGAGACGTCTCAAAACCCAACTTTTATCACGTGGCTATTCTTTGCCCAGGCAGGCAGGCAGGCAGCTCATGTTTCGTCTTCATCTGCCCCTGTGCTTCCTCCTCTTCCCACTCTCCACACGTTCGCACGTGATTGGCCACAGGAGTGAATGCGGTGCTTCTTCAACCAATCGCGGCGTTTGACGAGACTCAAGGACCCTACTTCCCTATCAAGTAAGCACCCCACCCCACCCCTCCCAACCCATCCCAACCCCAGCAATGGCATATCCATCCATCCGCATATGCATGCCTCTGTGCCCGTATCCCCTCGTTCTCCTTTCCTTCCCAACCACCCTCTCTTCTCCCAACATCTCTATCGTACGGCCCTAGCCTGAGCACGCTATTATTTGGCAGATTTGGCTTTCTGCATTCGACACCTCTCCTTGTCTCCATCTCCCCATACGGCCCGAGCGGCACAGTAGAGCTGCACACCAGCAGCATGGAGTGGAGAGGGCATGTGGTGTGAGTGACACAATGTGCCCTCCCTCTCACCTGCCACAGGAGGGGAGAGGGCTAACACAGGAGGGAATCAGGAGGGTTCCCTCATTCCCTCCTGTGGTAGGGGAGAGCGGCTCATTCCTTTGTTTTACTCTACTGCTGAAGTTCTTGAGCTCGGATTGTTGAGATCTAAGTAATACAGGAGGGTTTTTACTGTCTATCCTTTGCTTTAAGCCTGACTAACTTAGCAGCTCGCTGTGAATTATGTCACAAGACCAGTTGGCACAGTAGAGCGGCACACCAGCAGCATGGAGTGGAGGGGCATGTGGTGCGAGTGACACAATGTGCCCTCCCTCCCCCCTGCCACACACTCCACCTGTAAATTTCCGTGTCCATCATTCCTTCGCTTCCCTCCCCCGCCACCTCTCTCTTGCCCTCCCGCTTATTAACCAGTTACTTTGGCCCCATGCGTCGTCCCCCCCGCTCGTATTGACCCACCGAGTCTCTCAAGCTGTTGGCGCACGAGCTGCATGCGACCAGTTTCTTCGCCCCCATGCCATCCTATGGACCCACTGACTCTCTCAAGCTGTTGGCGCACGAGCTGCATGCGACCAGTTTCTTCGCCCCCATGCCATCCTATGGACCCACTGACTCTCTCAAGCTGTTGGCGCACGAGCTGCATGCGACCAGTTTCTTCGCCCCCATGCCATCCTATGGACCCACTGACTCTCTCAAGCTGTTGGCGCACGAGCTGCATGCGACCAGTTTCTTCGCCCCCATGCCATCCTATGGACCCACTGACTCTCTCAAGCTGTTGGCGCACGAGCTGCATGCGACCAGTTTCTTCGCCCCCATGCCATCCTATGGACCCACTGACTCTCTCAAGCTGTTGGCGCACGAGCTGCATGCGACCAGTTTCTTCGCCCCCATGCCATCCTATGGACCCACTGACTCTCTCAAGCTGTTGGCGCACGAGCTGCATGCGACCAGTTTCTTCGCCCCCATGCCATCCTATGGACCCACTGACTCTCTCAAGCTGTTGGCGCACGAGCTGCATGCGACCAGTTTCTTCGCCCCCATGCCATCCTATGGACCCACTGACTCTCTCAAGCTGTTGGCGCACGAGCTGCATGCGACCAGTTTCTTCGCCCCCATGCCATCCTATGGACCCACTGACTCTCTCAAGCTGTTGGCGCACGAGCTGCATGCGACCAGTTTCTTCGCCCCCATGCCATCCTATGGACCCACTGACTCTCTCAAGCTGTTGGCGCACGAGCTGCATGCGACCAGTTTCTTCGCCCCCATGCCATCCTATGGACCCACTGACTCTCTCAAGCTGTTGGCGCACGAGCTGCATGCGACCAGTTTCTTCGCCCCCATGCCATCCTATGGACCCACTGACTCTCTCAAGCTGTTGGCGCACGAGCTGCATGCGACCAGTTTCTTCGCCCCCATGCCATCCTATGGACCCACTGACTCTCTCAAGCTGTTGGCGCACGAGCTGCATGCGACCAGTTTCTTCGCCCCCATGCCATCCTATGGACCCACTGACTCTCTCAAGCTGTTGGCGCACGAGCTGCATGCGACCAGTTTCTTCGCCCCCATGCCATCCTATGGACCCACTGACTCTCTCAAGCTGTTGGCGCACGAGCTGCATGCGACCAGTTTCTTCGCCCCCATGCCATCCTATGGACCCACTGACTCTCTCAAGCTGTTGGCGCACGAGCTGCATGCGACCAGTTTCTTCGCCCCCATGCCATCCTATGGACCCACTGACTCTCTCAAGCTGTTGGCGCACGAGCTGCATGCGACCAGTTTCTTCGCCCCCATGCCATCCTATGGACCCACTGACTCTCTCAAGCTGTTGGCGCACGAGCTGCATGCGACCAGTTTCTTCGCCCCCATGCCATCCTATGGACCCACTGACTCTCTCAAGCTGTTGGCGCACGAGCTGCATGCGACCAGTTTCTTCGCCCCCATGCCATCCTATGGACCCACTGACTCTCTCAAGCTGTTGGCGCACGAGCTGCATGCGACCAGTTTCTTCGCCCCCATGCCATCCTATGGACCCACTGACTCTCTCAAGCTGTTGGCGCACGAGCTGCATGCGACCAGTTTCTTCGCCCCCATGCCATCCTATGGACCCACTGACTCTCTCAAGCTGTTGGCGCACGAGCTGCATGCGACCAGTTTCTTCGCCCCCATGCCATCCTATGGACCCACTGACTCTCTCAAGCTGTTGGCGCACGAGCTGCATGCGACCAGTTTCTTCGCCCCCATGCCATCCTATGGACCCACTGACTCTCTCAAGCTGTTGGCGCACGAGCTGCATGCGACCAGTTTCTTCGCCCCCATGCCATCCTATGGACCCACTGACTCTCTCAAGCTGTTGGCGCACGAGCTGCATGCGACCAGTTTCTTCGCCCCCATGCCATCCTATGGACCCACTGACTCTCTCAAGCTGTTGGCGCACGAGCTGCATGCGACCAGTTTCTTCGCCCCCATGCCATCCTATGGACCCACTGAGTCTCTCAAGCTGTTGGCGCACGAGCTGCATGCGACCAGTTTCTTCGCCCCCATGCCATCCTATGGACCCACTGACTCTCTCAAGCTGTTGGCGCACGAGCTGCATGCGACCAGTTTCTTCGCCCCCATGCCATCCTATGGACCCACTGACTCTCTCAAGCTGTTGGCGCACGAGCTGCATGCGACCAGTTTCTTCGCCCCCATGCCATCCTATGGACCCACTGACTCTCTCAAGCTGTTGGCGCACGAGCTGCATGCGACCAGTTTCTTCGCCCCCATGCCATCCTATGGACCCACTGACTCTCTCAAGCTGTTGGCGCACGAGCTGCATGCGACCAGTTTCTTCGCCCCCATGCCATCCTATGGACCCACTGACTCTCTCAAGCTGTTGGCGCACGAGCTGCATGCGACCAGTTTCTTCGCCCCCATGCCATCCTATGGACCCACTGACTCTCTCAAGCTGTTGGCGCACGAGCTGCATGCGACCAGTTTCTTCGCCCCCATGCCATCCTATGGACCCACTGACTCTCTCAAGCTGTTGGCGCACGAGCTGCATGCGACCAGTTTCTTCGCCCCCATGCCATCCTATGGACCCACTGACTCTCTCAAGCTGTTGGCGCACGAGCTGCATGCGACCAGTTTCTTCGCCCCCATGCCATCCTATGGACCCACTGACTCTCTCAAGCTGTTGGCGCACGAGCTGCATGCGACCAGTTTCTTCGCCCCCATGCCATCCTATGGACCCACTGACTCTCTCAAGCTGTTGGCGCACGAGCTGCATGCGACCAGTTTCTTCGCCCCCATGCCATCCTATGGACCCACTGACTCTCTCAAGCTGTTGGCGCACGAGCTGCATGCGACCAGTTTCTTCGCCCCCATGCCATCCTATGGACCCACTGACTCTCTCAAGCTGTTGGCGCACGAGCTGCATGCGACCCGTTTCTTCGCCCCCATGCCATCCTATGGACCCACTGACTCTCTCAAGCTGTTGGCGCACGAGCTGCATGCGACCAGTTTCTTCGCCCCCATGCCATCCTATGGACCCACTGACTCTCTCAAGCTGTTGGCGCACGAGCTGCATGCGACCAGTTTCTTCGCCCCCATGCCATCCTATGGACCCACTGACTCTCTCAAGCTGTTGGCGCACGAGCTGCATGCGACCAGTTTCTTCGCCCCCATGCCATCCTATGGACCCACTGACTCTCTCAAGCTGTTGGCGCACGAGCTGCATGCGACCAGTTTCTTCGTCCCCATGCCATCCTATGGACCCACTGACTCTCTCAAGCTGTTGGCGCACGAGCTGCATGCGACCAGTTTCTTCGCCCCCATGCCATCCTATGGACCCACTGACTCTCTCAAGCTGTTGGCGCACGAGCTGCATGCGACCAGTTTCTTCGCCCCCATGCCATCCTATGGACCCACTGACTCTCTCAAGCTGTTGGCGCACGAGCTGCATGCGACCAGTTTCTTCGCCCCCATGCCATCCTATGGACCCACTGACTCTCTCAAGCTGTTGGCGCACGAGCTGCATGCGACCAGTTTCTTCGCCCCCATGCCATCCTATGGACCCACTGACTCTCTCAAGCTGTTGGCGCACGAGCTGCATGCGACCAGTTTCTTCGCCCCCATGCCATCCTATGGACCCACTGACTCTCTCAAGCTGTTGGCGCACGAGCTGCATGCGACCAGTTTCTTCGCCCCCATGCCATCCTATGGACCCACTGACTCTCTCAAGCTGTTGGCGCACGAGCTGCATGCGACCAGTTTCTTCGCCCCCATGCCATCCTATGGACCCACTGACTCTCTCAAGCTGTTGGCGCACGAGCTGCATGCGACCAGTTTCTTCGCCCCCATGCCATCCTATGGACCCACTGACTCTCTCAAGCTGTTGGCGCACGAGCTGCATGCGACCAGTTTCTTCGCCCCCATGCCATCCTATGGACCCACTGACTCTCTCAAGCTGTTGGCGCACGAGCTGCATGCGACCAGTTTCTTCGCCCCCATGCCATCCTATGGACCCACTGACTCTCTCAAGCTGTTGGCGCACGAGCTGCATGCGACCAGTTTCTTCGCCCCCATGCCATCCTATGGACCCACTGACTCTCTCAAGCTGTTGGCGCACGAGCTGCATGCGACCAGTTTCTTCGCCCCCATGCCATCCTATGGACCCACTGACTCTCTCAAGCTGTTGGCGCACGAGCTGCATGCGACCCGTTTCTTCGCCCCCATGCCATCCTATGGACCCACTGACTCTCTCAAGCTGTTGGCGCACGAGCTGCATGCGACCAGTTTCTTCGCCCCCATGCCATCCTATGGACCCACTGACTCTCTCAAGCTGTTGGCGCACGAGCTGCATGCGACCAGTTTCTTCGCCCCCATGCCATCCTATGGACCCACTGACTCTCTCAAGCTGTTGGCGCACGAGCTGCATGCGACCAGTTTCTTCGCCCCCATGCCATCCTATGGACCCACTGACTCTCTCAAGCTGTTGGCGCACGAGCTGCATGCGACCAGTTTCTTCGCCCCCATGCCATCCTATGGACCCACTGACTCTCTCAAGCTGTTGGCGCACGAGCTGCATGCGACCAGTTTCTTCGCCCCCATGCCATCCTATGGACCCACTGACTCTCTCAAGCTGTTGGCGCACGAGCTGCATGCGACCAGTTTCTTCGCCCCCATGCCATCCTATGGACCCACTGACTCTCTCAAGCTGTTGGCGCACGAGCTGCATGCGACCAGTTTCTTCGCCCCCATGCCATCCTATGGACCCACTGACTCTCTCAAGCTGTTGGCGCACGAGCTGCATGCGAGGGGAGTGGAGGAGGTGCACATGGAGGTGGTGGTCAGCCACACCGCGGAGGGCAGCGATGAGAGCCTTAAGCCCATCTCTCCCCTGCCCTCCCTCGTTTCCCCCACTCCACTCCCACCCACCCATGCCTCCAGTTTCTTCTCCCCCATGCCCTCCTATGGACCAAACGAGTCCCTCAAGCTGCTGGTGCGAGAGCTGCATGCGAGGGGGGTGGAGGTGCACGTGGAGGTGGTGGTCAGCCACACGGCGGAGGGCAGCGACGAGATGCCCAAGCCCATCTCCTTCCCTTCCTCTTCCTCCCCACTCCACCCTCTTCCCCCACCCACCACCAGTTTCTTCGCCCCCATGCCATCCTACGGACCTACTGACTCTCTCAAGCTGCTAGTGAGGGAGCTGCACGCGAGGGGCATCGAGGTGCACGTGGAGGTGGTGGTCAGCCACACCGCGGAGGGCAGCGATGAGAGCCCCAAGCCCATCTCCTTCCGTGGCATTGACAACCGCGCCTACTACATCAATGACGCCTATGGCAAGCAGGTAGATGCAGCTTATAAGGAGGCATCATCATTTTCCCCTTGACTAAAAAGAGGGCAGCGATCAAGCCCATCTCCTTGCGCGGCATTGACAACCGCGCCTACTACATCAATGACGCCTATGGCAAGCAGGTGGGGCGAGTGGACGGACGTGTGCGGCAAGCAGGTAGAGACAGTTCAATCATCATCTCCTTGCGCGGCATCGACAACCGCGCCTACTACATTCTGGACGCCTATGGCAAGCAGGTAGAGCCAGTTTAAAGTAAACGGAGGCATCATGATTATCTTATTTTTCCCTTGACTCAAAAAGAAGGCAGTGACGAGAGTCTCAAGCCCATCTCTTTCCGCGGCATTGGCAACCGTGCCTACTTTATTGTGGGCGCCTTTGGCAAGCAGGTAGAGGCAGTCAAAACGGAAGCAGTTTATAAGGAGGCACCCCACCCAACCCTTTTGCACACCTCCACTACCTCGACCAGAACGCCAACTCCACGTGCTGGTGGGGTGGGGTGCTCCTGTTCCACGTGGAGGTGTGCAACAGGAGCACCCCAACTGACTCGACTGTTGCAAGTAGGTATGGGCAATCATAGCATTGCTTCCGCCGTCTCCACCACCATCCGAACTGACTCACAGTGGTCCCTGCCCCCCTGCCCCCCACTTTCCATCGTGCCAACCCCACCAGGTGGTGCCGGAATACGGATCTCCCAACGCCTTCAACTGCAACAGCCCTGTGGCACTCTCCTTGGTACGTGCCTTGCGTGCTTGCTCGCTAGCTTTTTAGTTGCTTGCTCGCTCTTTGGTCAAATTATCCTCCGCCTTCAACTGCAACAGCCCTGTGGCACTCTCCTTGGTACGTGCCTTGCGTGCTTGTTCCTTCCATTGCTCGCTTGTCCGCTTTCTTAGGGCTTGCTTGCTAGCTTGCTCGATTGCTTGCTTGCCGTACACACCAGACAACCCACGCCCTGCACCACTGGGTGGAGGAGTGCCACTCCACTAGTCCCCCCTTTGCTCCACATGGACGGCAGCATGGTCAATTGCTCCACATGCTCCGTGCCCCCCCGATTTCCCGTCCCCTCCCTCCTTTCCTTCTCCTCCCACCAGATAGTCGGCGCGCTGCACCACTGGGTGGAGGAGTGCCACATGGATGGTTTCTCATTCATCAACTGTGGCCCTGCACCCCCGTGCCTCGCCCCTTCCCCCCTGGTCCCCCTTCCTCTTATCCAGATAGTCGGCGCGCTGCACCACTGGGTGGAGGAGTGCCACATGGATGGTTTCTCATTCATCAACTGTGGCCCTGCACCCCCGTGCCTCGCCCCTTCCCCCCTGGTCCCCCTTCCTCTTATCCAGATAGTCGGCGCGCTGCACCACTGGGTGGAGGAGTGCCACATGGATGGCTTCTCATTCATCAACTGTGGCCCTGCACCCCCGTGCCTCGCTCCTTCCCCCCTGGTCCCCCTTCCTCTTATCCAGATAGTCGGCGCGCTGCACCACTGGGTGGAGGAGTGCCACATGGATGGTTTCTCATTCATCAACTGTGGCCCTGCACCCCCGTGCCTCGCCCCTTCCCCCCTGGTCCCCCTTCCTCTTATCCAGATAGTCGACGCGCTGCACCACTGGGTGGAGGAGTGCCACATGGATGGTTTCTCATTCATCAACTGTGGCCCTGCACCCCCGTGCCTCGCCCCTTCCCCCCTGGTCCCCCTTCCTCTTATCCAGATAGTCGGCGCGCTGCACCACTGGGTGGAGGAGTGCCACATGGATGGTTTCTCATTCATCAACTGTGGCCCTGCACCCCCGTGCCTCGCCCCTTCCCCCCTGGTCCCCCTTCCTCTTATCCAGATAGTCGGCGCGCTGCACCACTGGGTGGAGGAGTGCCACATGGATGGTTTCTCATTCATCAACTGTGGCCCTGCACCCCCGTGCCTCGCCCCTTCCCCCCTGGTCCCCCTTCCTCTTATCCAGATAGTCGGCGCGCTGCACCACTGGGTGGAGGAGTGCCACATGGATGGTTTCTCATTCATCAACTGTGGCCCTGCACCCCCGTGCCTCGCCCCTTCCCCCCTGGTCCCCCTTCCTCTTATCCAGATAGTCGGCGCGCTGCACCACTGGGTGGAGGAGTGCCACATGGATGGCTTCTCATTCATCAACTGTGGCCCTGCACCCCCGTGCCTCGCCCCTTCCCCCCTGGTCCCCCTTCCTCTTATCCAGATAGTCGGCGCGCTGCACCACTGGGTGGAGGAGTGCCACATGGATGGTTTCTCATTCATCAACTGTGGCCCTGCACCCCCGTGCCTCGCCCCTTCCCCCCTGGTCCCCCTTCCTCTTATCCAGATAGTCGGCGCGCTGCACCACTGGGTGGAGGAGTGCCACATGGATGGTTTCTCATTCATCAACTGTGGCCCTGCACCCCCGTGCCTCGCCCCTTCCCCCCTGGTCCCCCTTCCTCTTATCCAGATAGTCGGCGCGCTGCACCACTGGGTGGAGGAGTGCCACATGGATGGTTTCTCATTCATCAACTGTGGCCCTGCACCCCCGTGCCTCGCCCCTTCCCCCCTGGTCCCCCTTCCTCTTATCCAGATAGTCGGCGCGCTGCACCACTGGGTGGAGGAGTGCCACATGGATGGTTTCTCATTCATCAACTGTGGCCCTGCACCCCCGTGCCTCGCCCCTTCCCCCCTGGTCCCCCTTCCTCTTATCCAGATAGTCGGCGCGCTGCACCACTGGGTGGAGGAGTGCCACATGGATGGCTTCTCATTCATCAACTGTGGCCCTGCACCCCCGTGCCTCGCCCCTTCCCCCCTGGTCCCCCTTCCTCTTATCCAGATAGTCGGCGCGCTGCACCACTGGGTGGAGGAGTGCCACATGGATGGTTTCTCATTCATCAACTGTGGCCCTGCACCCCCGTGCCTCGCCCCTTCCCCCCTGGTCCCCCTTCCTCTTATCCAGATAGTCGGCGCGCTGCACCACTGGGTGGAGGAGTGCCACATGGATGGTTTCTCATTCATCAACTGTGGCCCTGCACCCCCGTGCCTCGCCCCTTCCCCCCTGGTCCCCCTTCCTCTTATCCAGATAGTCGGCGCGCTGCACCACTGGGTGGAGGAGTGCCACATGGATGGTTTCTCATTCATCAACTGTGGCCCTGCACCCCCGTGCCTCGCCCCTTCCCCCCAGGTCCCCCTTCCTCTTATCCAGATAGTCGGCGCGCTGCACCACTGGGTGGAGGAGTGCCACATGGATGGCTTCTCATTCATCAACTGTGGCCCTGCACCCCCGTGCCTCGCCCCTTCCCCCCTGGTCCCCCTTCCTCTTATCCAGATAGTCGGCGCGCTGCACCACTGGGTGGAGGAGTGCCACATGGATGGCTTCTCATTCATCAACTGTGGCCCTGCACCCCCGTGCCTCGCCCCTTCCCCCCTGGTCCCCCTTCCTCTTATCCAGATAGTCGGCGTGCTGCACCACTGGGTGGAGGAGTGCCACATGGATGGTTTCTCATTCATCAACTGTGGCCCTGCACCCCCGTGCCTCGCCCCTTCCCCCCTGGTCCCCCTTCCTCTTATCCAGATAGTCGGCGCGCTGCACCACTGGGTGGAGGAGTGCCACATGGATGGTTTCTCATTCATCAACTGTGGCCCTGCACCCCCGTGCCTCGCCCCTTCCCCCCTGGTCCCCCTTCCTCTTATCCAGATAGTCGGCGCGCTGCACCACTGGGTGGAGGAGTGCCACATGGATGGTTTCTCATTCATCAACTGTGGCCCTGCACCCCCGTGCCTCGCCCCTTCCCCCCTGGTCCCCCTTCCTCTTATCCAGATAGTCGGCGCGCTGCACCACTGGGTGGAGGAGTGCCACATGGATGGTTTCTCATTCATCAACTGTGGCCCTGCACCCCCGTGCCTCGCCCCTTCCCCCCTGGTCCCCCTTCCTCTTATCCAGATAGTCGGCGCGCTGCACCACTGGGTGGAGGAGTGCCACATGGATGGCTTCTCATTCATCAACTGTGGCCCTGCACCCCCGTGCCTCGCCCCTTCCCCCCTGGTCCCCCTTCCTCTTATCCAGATAGTCGGCGCGCTGCACCACTGGGTGGAGGAGTGCCACATGGATGGTTTCTCATTCATCAACTGTGGCCCTGCACCCCCGTGCCTCGCCCCTTCCCCCCTGGTCCCCCTTCCTCTTATCCAGATAGTCGGCGCGCTGCACCACTGGGTGGAGGAGTGCCACATGGATGGTTTCTCATTCATCAACTGTGGCCCTGCACCCCCGTGCCTCGCCCCTTCCCCCCTGGTCCCCCTTCCTCTTATCCAGATAGTCGGCGCGCTGCACCACTGGGTGGAGGAGTGCCACATGGATGGTTTCTCATTCATCAACTGTGGCCCTGCACCCCCGTGCCTCGCCCCTTCCCCCCTGGTCCCCCTTCCTCTTATCCAGATAGTCGGCGCGCTGCACCACTGGGTGGAGGAGTGCCACATGGATGGCTTCTCATTCATCAACTGTGGCCCTGCACCCCCGTGCCTCGCCCCTTCCCCCCTGGTCCCCCTTCCTCTTATCCAGATAGTCGGCGCGCTGCACCACTGGGTGGAGGAGTGCCACATGGATGGCTTCTCATTCATCAACTGTGGCCCTGCACCCCCGTGCCTCGCCCCTTCCCCCCTGGTCCCCCTTCCTCTTATCCAGATAGTCGGCGCGCTGCACCACTGGGTGGAGGAGTGCCACATGGATGGTTTCTCATTCATCAACTGTGGCCCTGCACCCCCGTGCCTCGCCCCTTCCCCCCTGGTCCCCCTTCCTCTTATCCAGATAGTCGGCGCGCTGCACCACTGGGTGGAGGAGTGCCACATGGATGGTTTCTCATTCATCAACTGTGGCCCTGCACCCCCGTGCCTCGCCCCTTCCCCCCTGGTCCCCCTTCCTCTTATCCAGATAGTCGGCGCGCTGCACCACTGGGTGGAGGAGTGCCACATGGATGGTTTCTCATTCATCAACTGTGGCCCTGCACCCCCGTGCCTCGCCCCTTCCCCCCTGGTCCCCCTTCCTCTTATCCAGATAGTCGGCGCGCTGCACCACTGGGTGGAGGAGTGCCACATGGATGGCTTCTCATTCATCAACTGTGGCCCTGCACCCCCGTGCCTCGCCCCTTCCCCCCTGGTCCCCCTTCCTCTTATCCAGATAGTCGGCGCGCTGCACCACTGGGTGGAGGAGTGCCACATGGATGGTTTCTCATTCATCAACTGTGGCCCTGCACCCCCGTGCCTCGCCCCTTCCCCCCTGGTCCCCCTTCCTCTTATCCAGATAGTCGGCGCGCTGCACCACTGGGTGGAGGAGTGCCACATGGATGGTTTCTCATTCATCAACTGTGGCCCTGCACCCCCGTGCCTCGCCCCTTCCCCCCTGGTCCCCCTTCCTCTTATCCAGATAGTCGGCGCGCTGCACCACTGGGTGGAGGAGTGCCACATGGATGGTTTCTCATTCATCAACTGTGGCCCTGCACCCCCGTGCCTCGCCCCTTCCCCCCTGGTCCCCCTTCCTCTTATCCAGATAGTCGGCGCGCTGCACCACTGGGTGGAGGAGTGCCACATGGATGGTTTCTCATTCATCAACTGTGGCCCTGCACCCCCGTGCCTCGCCCCTTCCCCCCTGGTCCCCCTTCCTCTTATCCAGATAGTCGGCGCGCTGCACCACTGGGTGGAGGAGTGCCACATGGATGGTTTCTCATTCATCAACTGTGGCCCTGCACCCCCGTGCCTCGCCCCTTCCCCCCTGGTCCCCCTTCCTCTTATCCAGATAGTCGGCGCGCTGCACCACTGGGTGGAGGAGTGCCACATGGATGGTTTCTCATTCATCAACTGTGGCCCTGCACCCCCGTGCCTCGCCCCTTCCCCCCTGGTCCCCCTTCCTCTTATCCAGATAGTCGGCGCGCTGCACCACTGGGTGGAGGAGTGCCACATGGATGGTTTCTCATTCATCAACTGTGGCCCTGCACCCCCGTGCCTCGCCCCTTCCCCCCTGGTCCCCCTTCCTCTTATCCAGATAGTCGGCGCGCTGCACCACTGGGTGGAGGAGTGCCACATGGATGGTTTCTCATTCATCAACTGTGGCCCTGCACCCCCGTGCCTCGCCCCTTCCCCCCTGGTCCCCCTTCCTCTTATCCAGATAGTCGGCGCGCTGCACCACTGGGTGGAGGAGTGCCACATGGATGGTTTCTCATTCATCAACTGTGGCCCTGCACCCCCGTGCCTCGCCCCTTCCCCCCTGGTCCCCCTTCCTCTTATCCAGATAGTCGGCGCGCTGCACCACTGGGTGGAGGAGTGCCACATGGATGGTTTCTCATTCATCAACTGTGGCCCTGCACCCCCGTGCCTCGCCCCTTCCCCCCTGGTCCCCCTTCCTCTTATCCAGATAGTCGGCGCGCTGCACCACTGGGTGGAGGAGTGCCACATGGATGGTTTCTCATTCATCAACTGTGGCCCTGCACCCCCGTGCCTCGCCCCTTCCCCCCTGGTCCCCCTTCCTCTTATCCAGATAGTCGGCGCGCTGCACCACTGGGTGGAGGAGTGCCACATGGATGGTTTCTCATTCATCAACTGTGGCCCTGCACCCCCGTGCCTCGCCCCTTCCCCCCTGGTCCCCCTTCCTCTTATCCAGATAGTCGGCGCGCTGCACCACTGGGTGGAGGAGTGCCACATGGATGGTTTCTCATTCATCAACTGTGGCCCTGCACCCCCGTGCCTCGCCCCTTCCCCCCTGGTCCCCCTTCCTCTTATCCAGATAGTCGGCGCGCTGCACCACTGGGTGGAGGAGTGCCACATGGATGGCTTCTCATTCATCAACTGTGGCCCTGCACCCCCGTGCCTCGCCCCTTCCCCCCTGGTCCCCCTTCCTCTTATCCAGATAGTCGGCGCGCTGCACCACTGGGTGGAGGAGTGCCACATGGATGGTTTCTCATTCATCAACTGTGGCCCTGCACCCCCGTGCCTCGCCCCTTCCCCCCTGGTCCCCCTTCCTCTTATCCAGATAGTCGGCGCGCTGCACCACTGGGTGGAGGAGTGCCACATGGATGGTTTCTCATTCATCAACTGTGGCCCTGCACCCCCGTGCCTCGCCCCTTCCCCCCTGGTCCCCCTTCCTCTTATCCAGATAGTCGGCGCGCTGCACCACTGGGTGGAGGAGTGCCACATGGATGGTTTCTCATTCATCAACTGTGGCCCTGCACCCCCGTGCCTCGCCCCTTCCCCCCTGGTCCCCCTTCCTCTTATCCAGATAGTCGGCGCGCTGCACCACTGGGTGGAGGAGTGCCACATGGATGGCTTCTCATTCATCAACTGTGGCCCTGCACCCCCGTGCCTCGCCCCTTCCCCCCTGGTCCCCCTTCCTCTTATCCAGATAGTCGGCGCGCTGCACCACTGGGTGGAGGAGTGCCACATGGATGGTTTCTCATTCATCAACTGTGGCCCTGCACCCCCGTGCCTCGCCCCTTCCCCCCTGGTCCCCCTTCCTCTTATCCAGATAGTCGGCGCGCTGCACCACTGGGTGGAGGAGTGCCACATGGATGGTTTCTCATTCATCAACTGTGGCCCTGCACCCCCGTGCCTCGCCCCTTCCCCCCTGGTCCCCCTTCCTCTTATCCAGATAGTCGGCGCGCTGCACCACTGGGTGGAGGAGTGCCACATGGATGGTTTCTCATTCATGAACTGTGGCCCTGCACCCCCGTGCCTCGCCCCTTCCCCCCTGGTCCCCCTTCCTCTTATCCAGATAGTCGGCGCGCTGCACCACTGGGTGGAGGAGTGCCACATGGATGGTTTCTCATTCATCAACTGTGGCCCTGCACCCCCGTGCCTCGCCCCTTCCCCCCTGGTCCCCCTTCCTCTTATCCAGATGGGGCGCGCTGCACCACTGGGTGGAGGAGTGCCACATGGATGGTTTCTCATTCATCAACTGTGGCCCTGCACCCCCGTGCCTCGCCCCTTCCCCCCTGGTCCCCCTTCCTCTTATCCAGATAGTCGGCGCGCTGCACCACTGGGTGGAGGAGTGCCACATGGATGGTTTCTCATTCATCAACTGTGGCCCTGCACCCCCGTGCCTCGCCCCTTCCCCCCTGGTCCCCCTTCCTCTTATCCAGATAGTCGGCGCGCTGCACCACTGGGTGGAGGAGTGCCACATGGATGGTTTCTCATTCATCAACTGTGGCCCTGCACCCCCGTGCCTCGCCCCTTCCCCCCTGGTCCCCCTTCCTCTTATCCAGATAGTCGGCGCGCTGCACCACTGGGTGGAGGAGTGCCACATGGATGGTTTCTCATTCATCAACTGTGGCCCTGCACCCCCGTGCCTCGCCCCTTCCCCCCTGGTCCCCCTTCCTCTTATCCAGATAGTCGACTCGTTGCACCACTGGGTGGAGGAGTGCCACATGGATGGTTTCTCATTCATCAACTGTGGCCCTGCACCCCCGTGCCTCGCCCCTTCCCCCCTGGTCCCCCTTCCTCTTATCCAGATAGTCGGCGCGCTGCACCACTGGGTGGAGGAGTTCCACGTGGATTGCTTCTCTTTCATCAACTGCTGCGCCCCTCCCACCCATTCACCCCTCTCCCACCCATGTCCCTTTCCCACCCACCCCCTCCCCCCACCAGATAGTCGACGCTCGGCACCACTGGGTGGAGGAGTACCACTAGTCCCCCCTATGGCTCCTCATGCACGGCAGCATGCTCACTTGCTCCTCTAGTCCTCTCCTCCGTGCCCCTGCCTATTTCCCTTCCCCCACCTTCCTTTCCTCCCACCAGATAGTCGACGCGCTGCACCACTGGGTGGAGGAGTACCACATCGATGGCTTCTCCTTCATCAACTCGTCTGCTCTCACCACGGGCCCGCATGCGCAGCCGCTCTCCCGCCCGCCCCTCGTGGAGGCCCTGGCCTTGGACCCGCTGCTGGCTGCAGTGAAGCTCGTGGCTGACGCTGCCATGCCGCTGCTCTCCGCACAGAAGGTGAGCGACTCCCTCCACCCATCCCGTACCCACCCGCTCGCCACGGGCCCGCCCGCCCCTCGTGGAGGCCCTGGCCTTGGACCCGCTGCTGGCTGCCGTGAAGCTCGTGGCCGATGCTGCCATGCCGCTGCTGTCTGCTGAGAAGGTGAGTGGCGATGCCAGCAGCACTCAGTGAGGTGAGGTCTTGAACCCATCCCACCCACCAGCAGCAGCCCCCACCACCAGTCCCCTACCTACCCACTCACCACGGGCCCACACGCGCAGCCTCTCTCCTGTCCGCCCCTCGTGGAGGCTCTGGCCTTGGACCCGCTGCTGGCTGCAGTGAAGCTCGTGGCCGATGCCGCCATGCCGCTGCTCTCCGCACAAAAGGTGAGTCGTGATGCCCCACGAATGGTCCGCCCTCACCCCCCCGTGGAGGCTCTGGCCTTCAACCCGCTGCTGTGTCACAAAAACAAATAGAATCCCGAATATCTCTCCTCGAAGGCGAGTATCTGTGAAGCCCCATCTCTGGGTGATCTCTTCTTCCACCCATCCCACCTTATGCCTTCACCACCTGCTGCCTTCACCACCTGCTGCCGCTACCACCTGTTTCCCTGTCTCCCATACCCCAGTAATCACTTGTCCTCTCCCACCAGTCATTCCTTGCTCTTCCTTCTCCAACCAATCATCTCTACCCTGTGTAACCCCCCCTTTTTTTCTGGGTAAACTCCCCGTTTGGACCCGGGCAGGCCTTTGCATTCCCGCACTGGAAGCGGTGGCAGGAAATGAACAGTGCTTTCTGTTTCGACATCCGCAGATTCGTTTCCGGGCAGCCTGGGCAGATCAGTGGGCTGGCAACCCGGCTGTGTGGCAGGTGCGTTCCTCCGAGTGCCTTTCATACATAGTGGCGTCCAGACTCAGTTCTGTTCTTTACGAGCCTCAAAAATAGCCTCCGAGTGGCTTGTTTTGAGACATCTCAAAACTACGTTCTTTAGGCGCCTCAAAAATAGCCTCCTAGTGGCTTGTATACATACTGGCTTCCGGACTTAGTTTTGAGAATTCTCACGAGTGGCTCTTGATATGCAGCGTTTGACAGGCAGTAATCTCCCCACTCTAGGGTAGTCAGTCAGGCCCTTGTCTGTGTGTGCGTGTGACTATTGAGTCAGTCTCGACTTACGACTCAAGTGTTCACTAGCTTTTCGGAAGCATAGCTTCTAACGGCTCACCCTCTGGTTGAAATCTCTCTTGAAATTTGTCAGAAGTGATTTCGAAAGTATAGCTTCCAAGGGCTCACCCTCTCCCCTCTCCCCTTCTCTCTCCTTCTCTCCCCTTCCTCCTCTCTCCTCCTCTCTCCTTGCTCCTCCCCTTTTCCTCTTCACCACCACATTCCAAGGACTCACCCTCCTCCCTTTAATCCTTCCCCTCACTTCCCTTCCCTCCTCTCTGCTTCTGCTCTGCCTCTCCCCTCCTCCCTCTCCCCTTCTCCATCTCCCCTCCCCCCTCTCCCCTTCCCCATCTCCCCTCCCCCATCTCCCCTTCCCCATCTCCCCTCCCCTTTCTCCCCTTCCACTTGGCCTTCAACCCGTCTCCCCTTCCTCGTCTCTCTCCCAGTGGCGACCTGTTCTCCTCGGGGCGAGGCCCAGCCTACGCCTTCAACTAAAACCACATCACCGCATTCCAAGGGCTCACCCTCTCCCCTCTCTCCTTTTCCCCCTTACCCTCCCACCCCCCTTTCCTCCTTCCCCCCGTTGTCCCTTTCCCCCTTCCCCCTTCCCCTTTCCCCCAATGGCGACCTGTTCTCCTCGGGGCGGGGCCTGGCATTCGCCTTCAACTACATCACGCATTCCAGGGGCTCACTCTGGCTCCTTCTCCTCCTCCCCCCCCCCCCCCCCCCCCCCCCCACCCCCCCTTTTCCTCCTTTCCCCGTTTCGCTGTTCCCCTTCCTCTTCCCCCCAGTGGAGATCTCTTCTCCTCAGGCCGAGGCCCAGCCTACGCCTTCAACTACATCACCGCATTCCAAGGGCTCACTCTGGCTGACCTCGTCAGCTACAGCATGGATTCAGAGGCCAGGTGGGGGTTAGTCGGCTACTCCAACAAACACACACATACATACGCATGTGCATGCGCACATACATATGCATGTGCATGCGCACAGACTCACAGACACGCACTCGCACACGCATTTCTGTGTCCCAACGTGATGCCTGACGTTTTCTAGGCGCCTCAAAACTCATTTCTTCCCTCGCTGCCCTGCCCTCTTGTCTCGTGCAGCTGGAACTGCGGCGCTGAGGGAGTGAGCGCGGATGAGGGCGTTATGCGGACACGGTTGAAACAGGTGGGGGCTGAGACACGTGGGAACTGGGACAGGTGGGGGCTGAGACAGGTGGGTGCTGAAACAGGTGGGTGCTGAGACAGGTGGGTGCTGAGACAGGTGGGAACTGGGACAGGTGGGAACTGGGACAGGTGGGGGCTGAGACAGGTGGGAACTGGGACAGGTGGGAACTGGGACAGGTGGGGGCTGAGACAGGTGGGAACTGGGACAGAGATGAGGGGGGAAAAGTGGGGGCAGATGGTGGGGGGCAGCGGATAGGGTGGGGAGATGATTTGGAGGGGGGGGGGGGGGAGTAAAGGGGAGAGGGTGAGGGGGAGAGTGTAAGGAGGGGAGGATGGTGGGCGGGAGGTAGGTGTGAGGGAGGGGCGCGTGGCTGAGACTAGGCTGTCCTCGTGTGCACGCACAATCGTCTTACTGTTCTTCGGCTTCTCAAGATTAAGCTGTCGTCACATGTGCAAGGTGACATCTGAGTCGACTCAAAAGCTGTGCTCACATGAGCAACCTTCTAGATGCCGCTGGCAGCATGTGCTTCGAGACGCGTCAACATTCTCCTCTCACTCACCCACGCATTTTGTTTGAGGTTGATTCTGAGAATTCTCAAAATCAACCTCAAACAAAAGAGACGCGTCAACATTCTCCTCTCACTCACCCACGCATGCGTTTCCTGTCCTTCTCGCCCACTCATCCTTCCCTTCTTTCTCGCCCACCCACTCATCCTTCCCTTCTTTCTCGCCCACCCACTCATCCTTCCCTTCTTTCTCGCCCACCCACTCATCCTTCCCTTCTTTCTCGCCCACCCACTCATCCTTCCCTTCTTTCTCGCCCACCCACTCATCCTTCCCTTCTTTCTCGCCCACCCACTCATCCTTCCCTTCTTTCTCGCCCACCCACTCATCCTTCCCTTCTTTCTCGCCCACCCACTCATGCTTCCCTTCTTTCTCGCCCACCCACTCATCCTTCCCTTCTTTCTCGCCCACCCACTCATCCTTCCCTTCTTTCTCGCCCACCCACTCATCCTTCCCTTCTTTCTCGCCCACCCACTCATCCTTCCCTTCTTTCTCGCCCACCCACTCATCCTTCCCTTCTTTCTCGCCCACCCACTCATCCTTCCCTTCTTTCTCGCCCACCCACTCATGCTTCCCTTCTTTCTCGCCCACCCACTCATCCTTCCCTTCTTTCTCGCCCACCCACTCATCCTTCCCTTCTTTCTCGCCCACCCACTCATCCTTCCCTTCTTTCTCGCCCACCCACTCATGCTTCCCTTCTTTCTCGCCCACCCACTCATCCTTCCCTTCTTTCTCGCCCACCCACTCATCCTTCCCTTCTTTCTCGCCCACCCACTCATCCTTCCCTTCTTTCTCGCCCACCCACTCATGCTTCCCTTCTTTCTCGCCCACCCACTCATCCTTCCCTTCTTTCTCGCCCACCCACTCATCCTTCCCTTCTTTCTCGCCCACCCACTCATCCTTCCCTTCTTTCTCGCCCACCCACTCATCCTTCCCTTCTTTCTCGCCCACCCACTCATCCTTCCCTTCTTTCTCGCCCACCCACTCATGCTTCCCTTCTTTCTCGCCCACCCACTCATCCTTCCCTTCTTTCTCGCCCACCCACTCATCCTTCCCTTCTTTCTCGCCCACCCACTCATCCTTCCCTTCTTTCTCGCCCACCCACTCATCCTTCCCTTCTTTCTCGCCCACCCACTCATCCTTCCCTTCTCTCTCGCCCACCCACTCATCCTTCCCTTCTTTCTCGCCCACCCACTCATCCTTCCCTTCTTTCTCGCCCACCCACTCATCCTTCCCTTCTTTCTCGCCCACCCACTCATCCTTCCCTTCTTTCTCGCCCACCCACTCATCCTTCCCTTCCCTCTCGCCCACTCTCATGCTTCCCATTTCTCTTTTGCCTCGCCCCCTCCTCCCCTCCCCTCCCAGGTGCACAACCACCTGGCGGTGCTCTTCCTCTCGCTGGGAGTGTTGGGAGGTGCCTCAACCGTCCTCAACCGCCCTCGACTGCCATGAATCACTCCCACCTGTGCTTCTCTCCACTCATCCCTGCCTCCGCTTGTTTCCTCCCCCTCCCCCCCAGGTGCGCAACCACCTGGCGGTGCTCTTCCTCTCGCTGAGGGTGCTGGGAGTACAGGGAGGCTCCTCAACCGCCTCCAACCGCCCTAGACCGTCCTCACTCACTCCTGGTCTCCCTCCCCCCCTCGTCCCCCCCTCCCCTCCCAGGTGCACAACCACCTGGCGGTGCTCTTCCTCTCACTGGGCGTGCTGGGAGGCGACTCAACCGCCTTCACTCATTCCTGGTCTTTCCCTCTCCCTCCTCCTTTCCCCCTCCCTCCTCCTTTCCCCCTCCCCCTCCCCCCCCTCCCCCTCCCCCTCCCCCCCAGGTGCGCAACCACCTGGCGGTGCTCTTCCTCTCGCTGGGAGTTCCCGTGCTGACAGCTGGCGACGAGTACGGCCACTCCAAGGACGCACAGCTGGCAGCAGATTACTCGTCAGTGCTCTCCTCCTCTCCCGCCCTGCCTCTTCTTCATTGCTGCTCTCTTTCCCTGCCTGATTCTCTGCCTGCCTGCCCACTCGCCCGCCCGCCCACCCGTCCGCCAGCCCACCGCCCCTCGCGCCTGCCTGCCTGCCTGCCTGCCTGCCTGCCTGCCTGCCTGCCTGCCTGCCTGCCTGCCTGCCTGCCTGCCTGCCTGCCTGCCTGCCTGCCTGCCTGCCTGCCTGCCTGCCTGCCTTGTCTCTGCCTGTCTCTGCCTCTCTGTCTATCTGTTGGCCTGTCCATGCCCCATCACCAAGTCCCCTTTCCACTGCGGCAAGCAACACTCACGTCTCAACTCGCCTCCTTGCAACCTCCTTCTCCCATGCTTCCTCTCTTCCTGCGCGCCTCCTCACCCTGATGCTACCTCTTCCTCTCTTTCTACATGCCTCCCTCTCTCTCCGCCCCCTCCCAGCGAGTCCCCCTTCCTCTGGAGCGCCCTGCACTCAGGCCTGGGAGTGCAGCTCTCCTCACCTAGATTCTCGCTTCCTCCCTTCCTACCTTTTGCCCTGCTTCCCTCCCTCTCTGTCTGCCCCCAACCAGCGAGCCCCCCTTCCTCTGGAGCGCCCTGCACTCAGACCTGGGAGTGCAGCTCTCCTCACCTCCCTTCTCGGGTGCTTGCTGCCTTCCTTCCTTCCTTCCTTCCTTCCTTCCTTCCTTCCTTCCTTCCTTCCTTCCTTCCTTCCTTCCTTCCTTCCTTCCTTCCTTCCTTCCTTCCTTCCTTCCTTCCTTCCTTCCTTCCTTCCTTCCTTCCTCCCTCTCTGTCTGCCCCCTCCCAGCGAGCCCCCCTTCCTCTGGAGCGCCCTGCATACGGACCTGGGAGTGCAGCTCTCATCACCTAAATGCCTTCTCTTTCTCACTTGCTTGCTGCCTGCCTCCCTTCCTCTCTATCTCCCTTCCTCTCTATCTCCCTTCCTCTCTATCTCCCTTCCTCTCTATCTCCCTTCCTCTCTATCTCCCTTCCTCTCTATCTCCCTTCCTCTCTATCTCCCTTCCTCTCTATCTGATTTCCTCCCTGCCAGCGAGTCCCCCTTCCTCTGGAGCGCCCTGGGCTCTGATCTGGGAGTGCAGCTCACTCGCTTCATCGCCTCACTTGCCAACTTCCGCCGCCGCCGCACACTGCTGCTGCAGGTGAGACGAGGAGAGGAGAGGTGAGGGGAGGTAAGGCCTCTCTCGCCAACTTCCGCCGCCGCCGCACTCTGCTGCTGCAGGTGAGACGAGGAGAGGAGAGGAGAGGGGAAAGGAGCGAGTGAAGTCGGCTGCTTGCTGCTGCTGCTGCTGCTGCTGCTGCTGCTGCTGCTGCTGCTGCTGCTGCTGCTGCTGCTGCTGCTGCTGCTGCTGCTGCTGCTGCTGCTGCTGCTGCTGCTGCTGCTGCTGCTGCTGCTGCTGCGGTGTGTCAATGGCACAAGGCACGTTTCATTACTGCTACATACATGTGTGTCAACCATTCAATTTGTGTACATATGGACTGGTCTAGTCCGAGCACGCTATGATTCAACAAATAAGATCTTCTACACTAGTCTGCACGGGCTACCTCTCCTTCTCTCCACCTCCCCATCCCCGATCCATCCCCGTCCCCATCCCCATCCCCATCTCCATCCCCATCCCCATCTCCATCCCCATCCCCATCCCCATCTCCATCCCCATCCCCATCCCCATCTCCATCCCCATCCCCATCCCCACCCCCATCTCCATCCCCATCCCCATCCCCATCCCCATCCCCATCCCCATCCCCATCCCCATCCCCATCCCCATCCCCGTCCCCATGACAGCGCAAGGACTTCTATTTCGGGGGGGACATTGTGTGGCACGGCGCGTCTCTCAGCTTTTTGAGTCGACAAAAAATCATTCCCTCCGATCCCCATTCCCATCCCCATCCGCATCCCCATTCCCATCTCCATGCCCATGCCCATCCCCATCCCCATCCCCATCCCCATTCCCATCCCCATCCCCATCCCCACACCCATGACAGCGCAAGGATTTCTATTTCGGGGAGGACATTGTGTGGCATTGAGCCTTTCCCGACCAGCCTGAATGGGACGGTTGTTGAGGCGCCTAAAAAATCCCCATCCCCATCCTCATCCCCGTCTCCATGACAGCGCAAGGACTTCTATTTTGGGGGGGACATTGTGTGGCACGGCGCGTTTCCCAACCAGCCCGAATGGGACAACCCCAGCTGGTACGGTCCAAACCTTGTAGGTTAAATGAACCTTGTTGGTAATGACTGAACCTGTGGGTAATCAATTAGCTTCTTCCTTCACACTTTCCTCTGTTTATCTTCTGAATCCCCCTGCTACCCTCCCATTATCTCTCGGTTTACGCCCTCTCCTTTCCCTTCCTTGCTCCTTTTCACTTCTTCACCCCTTCTCATACATTCACTACCAACATCTTATACTACCAGCAGCATCAGCAGCAGCAGCAGAAAAAAGAATGTAAATAAATAATCGCCCGTTCTATCTCTCTCCCACTCTTCCTGTTGCGTCGTAACCGTCACCATTCATAGTACCGGCATTAAACCCTCATTCAAGGAGATATCTCTGTGGTGCCTCATGAACCACACCCCATGCTTCCTTCCCCACATCCTCAACCTTTCTTCCTCGCCTGCACCGTTCACAGTGCCGGCATTGAGGCATCAGCTAAGGAGCATATATCTTTGGCGCCTTATAGATATACACGCCAATCACCCTCTCCTCTTTCCCCCTTCCTCCCCCCACCCCTGCAGCTGCTTCCTCGCCTGCACCGTTCACAGTGCCGGCATTGAGGCATCAGCCCAGGAGCATGTATCTTTGGCGCCTTATAAACATACACGCCGTTCACCCTCTCCTTTTTCCCCCTTCCTCCCCCCACCCCTCCAGTTTCTTCCTAGCCTGCACCGTTCACAGTGCCGGCATTGAGGCATCAGCCCAGGAGCATATATCTTTGGCGCCTTATAGATATACACGCCAATCACCCTCTCCTCTTTCCCCCTTCCTCCCCCCACCCCTGCAGCTGCTTCCTCGCCTGCACCGTTCACAGTGCCGGCATTGAGGCATTAGCTAAGGAGTATGTATCTTTGGCACCTTATAAACATACACGCCAATCACCCTCTCCTCTTTCCCCCTTCCTCCCCCCACCCCTCCAGTTTCTTCCTAGCCTGCACCGTTCACAGTGCCGGCATTGAGACATCAGCCCAGGAGCATGTATCTTTGGCGCCTTATAAACATACACGCCGTTCACCCTCTCCTCTTCCCCCTTCCTCCCCCCACCCCTCCAGTTGCTTCCTAGCCTGCACCGTTCACAGTGCCGGCATTGAATCCTCAGCCAAGGAGGCAGCAGAGGAGGCAGGAGTGCCGATTACCACGGCCGCCCCGCTGCAACACCGACAATGCCGGTTGGCGATCTCTACTTCGCCTTCAGTTCGCTACCCGCTTTCTCACTGGCAGCGGCAGCAGCAGCAGCAGCTTATGTAAACATGGCTCCTTTTCCGATCCTCCCTTCCCCGCATTCTCTGCCCCTAAACCCTAAACCCTCCAGCTGCTTCCTAGCCTGCACCGTTCACAGTGCCGGCATCGAGACATCAGCCAAGGAGGCCGCGGAAGAGGCAGGAGTGCCGGTTCCCACTGCCGCCCCGGCTGTAACACCCACGCTGCCGGTTGGCGATCTCTACTTCGCCTTCAATGCACATGCCAATGAGATGGTCGTGGAGCTGCCTGCGCCGCCTGTCGGCATGATGTGGTAAGTACGGTTGAAGGTCGTTTCTACCCATGACTTTCTTGAGGCGCCTCAGAATCTGAGCACCAACAATGCCGGTTGGCGATCTCTACTTCGCCTTCAACGCCCATGCGAATGAGATGGTCGTGGAGCTGCCTGCGCCACCTGCTGGCAGGATGTGGTATGATGGCAATTACATGACCCATAAGCTATGATGAACCATGACTCATGTTGTAGGACCCATGAGGCATCATCACCAATGGCTTGTGCCTCATGAACCATAAACCTTAACCCACGACCCCAATAACCCATGACATGTGAATCAGGATTCATGACCCATGCTCACGAGCTGTGACAATCGACCCGTAGTAACTCATGCCCCATGACACATCACCAATTGTTCACTGCCCGTTTCAACATATGTTAATGTGCGCACACGGCATGTGGTTATGTGATGTATGTGCGTGTGTGACGTATGTGCATGTTGCACGTGGCATGGGTATGTGACATGGCATGTGCGTGTGGGTGGGGCACGTGGCATGTTGTGCATGGAATGTGGTGCATGGCATGTGGTGCATGGCATGTGGTGCATGGCATGTGGTGCATGGCATGTGGTGCATGGCATGTGGTGCATGTCTTGTGGTGCATGGCGTGTGGTGCATGGCATGTGGTGCATGGCATGTGGTGCATGGCATGTGGTGCATGGCATGTGGTGCATGTCTTGTGGTGCATGGCATGTGGTGCATGGCACGTGGTGCATGGCATGTGGTGCATGGCGTGTGGTGCATGGCATGTGGTGCATGGCATGTGGTGCATGGCATGTGGTGCATGGCATGTGGTGCATGGCATTTGGTGCATGGCATGTGGTGCATGGCATGTGGTGTACGGCATGTGGTGTATGACATGTGGTGCATGGCATGTGGTGCATGGCATGTGGTGTATGACATGTGGTGCATGGCAGGCACCTTGTGCTGGACACGGCTAAGGACTATCCGGCTGACATCACAGAGCTACCAGCCCAAGGCATGCCTCCATCCATCGCTGCGAGGTATGTGGTGCATGTCACGTGTGCTGCGGCATGTGGCCTATGGCACGGGTGCATGGGCTGGACACGGCTAAGGACTATCCGGCTGACATCACAGAGCTACCAGCCCAAGGCGTGCCTCCACCCATCGCTGGAAAGTAAGTGACAATACTGAATAAACAGTGCAACACAGAGTGCAAGGGAAGAGGGGCACGCAAGTGTTCATTTGTGCGTGCTTAGGTGCTTGCTCTCAAATCTAACTCGCATACTGGTGTTGTACGGGTGTGTGTGTGTGTTTGGGTGTTTGTGTTATTGTTCTCAATGTTGTGCAGTGTGTCGTCGCCATACTTCATGGAGCCATTTTCCGTGATAGCCTTGGAAGCTCGTGGCCCGCCTTCCCTCGCCCCTACTGCCCGTTTAAGTTCCTGATTAGAAACAAGTTTTGTGATGAACATTGGATTGAGATTTCATTATTACAATCGTCAAGTTACATAGATCCTAAATTATGTGCATGGGTTTGGTTCTGCTTTCAGTCAGTACCAATGCCACAGAAATGACTTGCAGCTGTATCTGCTCATTACCGGTAAATATGTTCCTGTTATAAGGGAACCACCACTAGCGAAGAGTCGGAGATACCTGCTGGAATTCGTGACACGAGCCTGACACCTAGCCAATTCTCCTCCTGAGTCCTGACACAACCCCGACCTTGTACTCCGTGCTGGACGCGAAGTTAGGAATACGCCCGCAACGTAACGGATCCCATCGCATCCCGCGTGACTCCTCGCTCTCTCTCCCTCCCTCTGCTCCAGCGTTCCCTTGGGAATGCCGCCAGCCACCACCAGCCACCACCAGCCGCCATCGTCCATGCACCCCGTAACCCGAACCACCGCATTCAGCCGAACCCAACCAGAGCGACCAAATCTCCAGGCAAACGCAAAATGGTGAACTAGACTAGACCAGAGGTAGAAGAAGCTCCTTCACACACAATAGAGAGGGTTCTTGTGCTGTAAATAGGCTGATATATTGCAGAACAATCAATCAGTAGTGCTTGACTCTGCATCGTCCCTTCCATCAGTCCTTCTCAACCCTCATCTCCAGCGTCAGCTGGTTCTAGGCTAGTGGCGTGTCACTCGTAGTGCAAGCTCAGGAATTGCTGAAGACTTGCAATTCGTGCAAGTCATCATATCTTTATACGCTCCACCAACTGAAGACCTCCCATTGACTGAAGCATTGCTGCTGCAGTGCATTCTATAATTGAACCTTTTTTTAAATCAGCTCAGAGGCTGTCAGTCAGGTTCTCGGCGTGACCTTATCGAATTCTCTCATTACAAAGACGATCGTTATTGGATCAGTTGTCGGAGCTGGCCAGCAACCAAACGACTTTGTTTCCGCTCGTTGTAATCACTTCAATTCTCCTGACGTGAGCAGATTCAGCCGCAGGACATTGCCATTCCCTCGCCTTCAGTTCCCGTGGTAGTCTCAAGGTCGACCATGTTCCTCCGAACCGTCCCATTACCGTTCATTACTAGCTTATCAACGTCTTTGCGGTAGAATCCATAGAAACCTTTCAAGAAAGTTCTAGCACATCTACACCTGAACTGTCCCAGAATCATCCTTTCATCCTTTCACCAGCACATCGACGTCGCTTCCCAAAAGATCAGAGGGTATTCTCACCGCATCAGCGCTTCAAATCTCACGCTTTCACCGTACCCCAGCGTCTAGTTTTTAGCAGTCAATCCTCGTCTAGCTCACGTCTAGTCATCGTCCGGCGGCCGTGCTGCAAGGAAATTACAAGCAGCGTATACCTCTTAATCAAACTTCGCTTACTCCATCGTTTGGTCGCCATGCTGCTGGTGTTCGTGGTGGACACGAGTCCGTCCATGGGCCAGCGCATCGCCAACGGACTCACGCTACTCGACTGCGCTAAGAGCGGCGTTGAACACTTTCACAAGGTGGGTAGGACGCTTCCATAAGGTAGGTCAAACAAACACCCTTTCGTTTAGCTGTAACATGTTCGCATTTCAGCGGGTATTTAAGTGTGCATGTAACACTTTCCTTGCAGAACGTTCAGGGATTCTTATTTCTTGCCACGGCCTGGTCCCCATTGTTGCCTTGTGTTGCAGGTTCGGCAGCGAGACATCTCTGCCAGGGCGGATAGGTAAGCCACGCTGTTTTACCTTGTTCTACCACCTTGAATGAACCGTTTCTTTGTTTTCAAGTCATTTCATTGTAAATGATTCTTTAATGTGTTCATCTTTTACATTCCTCCCAGGTACATACTGGTGACATGCGATGAAGGAGCATCGGCAATCAAGGTGAGATAAAATGCTGGTATCCCCTCCCCCCCTCTACCACAGACTCCCTCCTCTCCCTTTCTTCCACTCACTCGATCCGCTCTTCGTTCTCTTTTTGAGGCGCCTCAGATTTTAAGGATTTCTTTGGCGCCTAAAAAACCACTCTCCCCAGATACTTTAACTCTATTGCGCTCTGTGTCACTGCAGGTGGTTGGTTTCTTCTCCTTTGCCATTCCTCTGCATCCGTCCATCCTTACCCATACTCCCTGTCTTCTCTAACCCTTCACTATCCCCAGGTGGTCGACCGCTTCCCCTTCACCAATTTCTTGCGGGTTCTCAAGGCTGTCAAGGTGGGAGGTCTCTCGTCTGTCGGCCAATCACTGCGCTCCACGTTTGATCTGCTGCACACTCAGCGCCTCGCAGCAGACGTTGACCGATGGGGTGAGTGTAGTGTGTCTGATGAGAGTTTTTTGCGTGACTCATTACTTTCATTACTTTCAAGCATCACTCTCAAAGACACAGATGGTGCAAGTGTGGCAGGCTGATTCATCCCTTCATGCACCCACGCGCCACCCATGCGCTAATTGAAACTGGGTTGTGCATGATCCTATCCTGTATCCCCTCTCCTGCCTCCGCCCCTGCCTCCTCTCTAGGCATGGGTCGTAATCTCGCCGCCGTGGATCCAACGGTTGTCATGCTTCTCACCGATGGCACACACTTCACATCGGTATGTTCTCCCCGCCAGGGCAGTGATATAGAACGGTAACACAGAGTTGATTCAACCCCGCTTTCAGTTGCCCCATTTTCCACTCTCTCCCCTTATTCTTCGAACCCCTTCCTTTCTTCCATTGAATGTCTACCGGTCTGGCATACCACCCACCCACCCATGACTGAAAGAACGTCAACACCCCTCGAGCAGCAGCAGCAGAAGCAGCAGTGGACTAAAGCTGGCAGGCAGTTGGATTCAAACTGACGGGAGCAGTGCCTGGCAAGGCAAGACAATCATCCTGCGTGCATTCCATCCCAATCCATTCTTAAGGCCAGCCAGCCAGCCACAGCACACTCACAAAGACAGCCTTCCATTCACTCCCACCGTCCTCTCTAACTCTCTTCCTTGTCTTGCTGCCTCTCCTCTGGTCCATTCCGTTCCCCCACCCCCCTTTTCCCCTCCTCCCCCCCCTTTCCCCCTCCTCCCCCCCCTTTCCCCACAAATCCCCCATCGCCAGCGGTTTGGGGTGTCAACGAGTCTGGCTCTGCTACCAACTGCCACTCCCTTCCACCAGGCGGCGAGCTGGCATCACAGCCGTTCCGGTGGGAGCAGCGCGTGCTCGCCACCATCCTGCGCATCCCCAGCGCCAAGCCAGAGCACCTCCATCCTGAGCACCTTGAGAGGACTGGCCCTCTGCCCTCCCATCTTCACCAACCTTCTTCCCGTTTCCCCTGCCCCCTGGTTCCTGTCCGCCCCTCTCCCCTGTGTGCAGCGGTTTGGAGTGTCAACGAGCCTGGGCCTGCTACCAGCAACCAACTCCCCCCCACCAGGCGGCGAGCTGGCATCACAGCCGTTCCGGTGGGAGCAGCGAGTGCTCGCCACCATCCTGCGCATCCCCTCCGCCAAGCCAGAGCACCTCCATCCTGAGCACCTTGAGAGGACTGGCCCTCTGCCCTCCCATCTTCACCAACCTTCTTCCCGTTTCCCCTGCCCCCTGGTTCCTGTCCGCCCCTCTCCCCTGTGTGCAGCGGTTTGGAGTGTCAACGAGCCTGGGCCTGCTACCAGCAACCAACTCCCTTCCACCAGGCGGCGAGCTGGCATCACAGCCGTTCCGGTGGGAGCAGCGAGTGCTCGCCACCATCCTGCGCATCCCCAGCGCCAAGCCGGAGCACCTTGAGAGGATTGGCCCTCTGCCCGCCGCTGGCCCCATCTCGGAATCTCCGGCTGCTGTGGCTGTGGACACGAGTATGTCAGCCCTGTGTGAAGCGACTGGGTGGGTGGGGGAGTGTGTTAGGACTGTGCTTGTGTGGCTTGAGTGCTTGTGAAGTGAATTGAGTCGCCAGCTGCTGTGGCTGTGGACACGAGTGTGTCAGCCCTGTGTGAAGCCACTGGGTGAGACTGTGGGCACATGCATCCATCCACTTTGTCATCACTCTTGTATCATTGAATAGTGCTGGTCAATCAAGGTAAAAAAGGATGGGTTTCCGCCTTTCTCCAAGCTGTTGTATTCATTCGTTTCTCATTTTTTCAAAACGTGCCTTTCGAATGGATGGAGTGAGTTATTCCTCTTTCACTCACTCACTCCTCCCACACCTGAATTCAGTTCTCCTTTTCCATTCTGTTCCCCACTTGCATTACGTTTGCCATCCCGTTGCATGTAACCTGTGCAGTGGCAAGTGCAGTGTGGTAACCAGCTGGAAGATGCTCTTTCAGCACCTAGATATTGTCGCCTCGCGCCTCTCGCCAGCTGTCGTCGTCTCATTTGACCATGTGCCACTACCGGGTGGCGTACCCATGCCGCCCCAAGTACACGCTGCATGCCAACGAAAGCTATTATTCGTTCGCAACCTGCCCACCGCCGGACCTGCAGGCTCGGCAGCTGGGTTGGGCGCTCCAGGCGCAGCAGGCTTGGCAGGACAGCTAGGCTTGGCACCGCCGCAGCCGGGCGCCGGGCCTCCTCCAGTAGTTTGGCCCATACCTGAAGCATTCTGGCCGGATTTTACCACTCCCAGTCCTGCTACTGCTGCTGCTGCTGCTCCAGTTGTCTCCTCCAGCCCTTCCGTTCCTCCCCTCTTTCCTCCTCGCGACCCCCACCCCGTGATAACCTATCGGGCGGTGGATACAGACGCGCGCGTGCCGCCCGGGATACCAGTAGACAAGTACGAGATTGAAGGGTGTCCCATTCTGGGCTTCCTCAGCAAGGCCGGCCCCAACGTGTGCTGGCAGGTGAGATTAGGGCAGGTGGGATGCCGATCAGTGCAAGTGGGACCAGGGCAGGTGGGATGCTGATGAGTGGACAAGTTCGAGATTGAAGGGTGCCCCATTGTAGGCTTCCTCAGCAAGGCCGGCCCCAACGTGTGCTGGCAGGTGAGTGAGATCAGGGCAGGTGTGATTAGGATCCTGATTGCATGGTACGCACACCTTAGTCAACCAACGAGCCAGCCAGCCAGCCAGCCAGCCAGCCGGCCAGCCAGCAAGCAAGGCGTGCATGTATGCAATGCAGTCTTGCGTGCACGCGTCTCCATGTGCATGTGTGTTTTCTGGAAGCTGTTTGTGGGAGGGAGAGCACAGGCCTGGTGCTGAGACACAGAGTTCTCTTGTTATACTCTAGCTCCTCAACAAACTATGTGTGCGTGTGTGTGCATGTGCATGCGTGTGTGTATGTGGGCATGCGTGCATTTATTGTGTGGCACGGGTGTGTGTCGGCAGGTGTTCATGCGAGGGAGCAAGGGTCCGCGGAACGGCCTGGGTGATCCATTCGGGTGAGCCCTTTTCAGAGTCGCTGCTTCACCTGACCTGAGACTGTGGTTGTCTCGCACACGCCTGTGTGTGCTTGTTTTCACCTTGACTCTTGTATATAACGATGTTCTGTGCTCACTCACACATCAGTATTATGCCCACTTGACCTTTCGTGTCTCGTGCACGCTGTGCCCCCACGTCCCCATACCTCCTATCCATGCCTGCATGCCCTTATGCCTGCACGCCCTTATGCGTGCATGCCATGCACCCTTGCCCCCACAACCGCAGGTATCTCAGAGTGAACCGGCCAGGCAGCTCGCTCACTCTCCACGTCCTGCCGTACAACTACCCTGTGAGTGCTGACTTCCTTACTCAATGCATCGAGAAAGCTCCTGCTGTTGACATTTCGACCCTGATTGCACCATTTGAGCTCTGAACACGCCCTCACTTTGCACCTTTCAATGTCTCATTTCCCACCCACCAGGAAGGGACTCGAATCGAGTTCTTGATTGATCTCGCTCTCTTCCTTCCTGTGTGTTGTCCCTATTCCCTCCACCCCCTCCCTAACCCCCCCCCTCCGTTCCTTTCATTTAGGTGCTGTTCCCTTTGGTAGAGCAGCTCCAACGAATGCCGCCCCATACAAGGGCCTCCCCGCCGGCCGGCTGGCGGCACGACTTCGAACGTTACTGCACCGGCGTCCCTCCGTACTATGCCGCCCCACTCCGAGCCGCCATGCGCAGGCTCGGCGTGTCAGCCGCAGGTGCGGCGGTGCCGGACCTGATGGACGCCAGCCTGGCAGCAGGTCCGGTGGCGTCGCAGCTGCGGCGGTGGCGGGTGAAGGCGAAAGGGGAGATCGAAGAGCGGTTGCAGGAGATTGCAAAGGTAGGTGACTGTCGAATTCGTCCCTGCTTGCCTATTGTGAATTGACAATTTTCTATGCTATCATCACATGAAGCAAACTAGCCTGCTGGTATGTATGAAATTAAAAACAGAATGCCCTTTTCCTTGGTACTTGCTTCTATGTTGACCTCCTTCTGTCGACCCCTTCGATCTGCCTGCCTATTTGCAGACAGCCAATCAGATGGCTCAGTTCGCCGCAGCCCGCCCTCCTCCCCTGTCCACGCTCTCCTTCGAGGTTCCTCTGGCTCTACCCTCCATCGCCCCACTCACTGCTGTTCAACCGCCCTCTGACAAACCAAATGAACAGAAGCAACAGCACCAGCAGCACCAGCAGAAGCTACAACAGCAGCAGCAGCAGCAGCAGCAGCAGCAGCAGCAGCAGCAGCAGCAGCAGCAGCAGCAGCAGCAGCAGCAGCAGCAGCAGCAGCAGCAGCAGAGAGTAGTGCAGCTGCTGCCACCCCCACCGCCTCCGCGCTCCTTCCCTGTCTTCCCCATCCCTCCTCCGCCCTCCGCCTCTCACTCCCATCCGCCCCTTACCTCCACCAATCCGGTCGCTCCATCTGTCCCTCCTTCCCTCTCTGGGGCTGTGGAGGCTGGGGAGGCTGGTGCTTACAGCGGAGGTGCTTACAACGGTGGTGCTTATAGCGCTGGTACTACTGGTGCTGCTGGTGGTCCTGGTGGTGCTGGTGGTCCTGCAGGGGTATTAGGGGCAGGTTCAGGGGGTGGTGAGGCGCCGGGGGCAGGGCAAGGGCGACCAGCGGGGCAAGGGCGACAAGCAACCATCTTCACGAACCCGTGTGAAGTTTCTCGAGAGGATTCTTTGCGGTGAGTGTGGGTGGGGTTGGGTGTGGGATGGAAAGTAGAATAGAGAGAACGAGGGTGGGTGTGGAGGGAGAAGGAGTATAGTGGGGGTGAGGGCGGTAGAGGGAACGGGTGAGTGGCACTGGTAACCGCCTTCTTGAATCCGTTCGCAGGTTTTCAAGTAGGCTCGGCTCGTTGAGATTTAGGGTTTGGGTCTCACTTCTTCATCAGGATTTCAGGGTTTTGGGGCTCGTCTTTCCATCATATGTGCAATGTGGCTTCATCGTTCAACTTTACATCAGATTTCAGGGTTCAGGGTTTCATCTCTCCACTTGGGTTGTTTCAAGGGTAGAAATTCTCCGCTTTATCAGGGTCAGGGTCTGGCGTTTAGGATTGTGGGTTGTGAGAACTCGTTTGTGCCACTTCGAGTAACCGCAGATCAAGCACAGCACGCTTTTTAAAAAATGACGGCTTGATGCATCATGGTTGTCGGCCCACCCCTCCCCACCTCTTCCTCTCTTCTCTCGCCTCCCACCCTCCAGGCAAGTGCTTCATCTGCCACTTCGCCTGGCCGCCATTCTCAGCAGCAGCAGCCCTGCCTTTGAACCTGGAAAGCCATCTGCTGCATATCGACCCATGGCATCACCACTGGACCCAATTCAAGAAGAGAGAGTGCTGCAGGGAGGGGGGAGGGGTCGGCCAAAGGGGGGAACAGCAGGTGGTGCTGTTGCTGCTGCTGCAGATAATGTGGCAGCGCCGTGGTTCACTGGTGGATATGACGTTGACAGGTGGCGTGCTCTGATTGGTGCGGTGGGGAAGTGGGCGCTTCTGGCGGAGGAGGAGGCAAAGCACACCGTCAGCATCGAAAAGGTGCCTTTTTCACTCAAGGCTCATATAACTCGAAACGATTGAAACAACGTTCTCTCACCTTTTCTCGATGCCATTTATTTTTTCTCCCTTTCCAATTTTAATCAACACTCACTACAGTCCGATTTTCTCCAACCCATTTATCATTTAACAATCCCCCCCCCTTCCCCCCTTGGCCTACCCCCAACCACCCTTCCCCCCTTTTGACCCTGGACAACTCGGTTGTTATTTGTGTCTTCTCCCATTTTACCTCAGCAGCTTTTGAGGAGACCCAGACTCAGGCCCTTCCTTTTTTGTTTCTTTTTTTTAATTTTCAAACTTCTCCCTCCTTGCCCTCCTTGCCCTCCACGCCTTTGTGTGTCAGATGGGCGACTTCAACGACGCGCTCCAGAGGCAGCAACCAACCCGCAGCCCCTATGTACGCTCCATGCCCCTTTGCATGCACCGTAACCCGCAGCTTCTATGAATGCACAATGACAAAGTAGCCTAAGAGCGTGTGCTAGTCGTGTAGCTTGAAGTGAAGTGGAGTCATGCATCCGCTAGGTCTTCAGGCTGATGTGTGTGCTGGCTGCTGTTAGACTGTCAGCATCGTTGCTATGTGCGCATCACATCGCAAGCAAGTCATGCATCAGGTAGCCTGAAACAAGGCGGCGCTCCTTTGAGTCAATTCAATAAAAAAAATCTGTCAATTCGATAATCTTGAGTCATCACTGCTAGCTCATTCCACGATCTCATCCCATATCCCATCCATCTCCCTCTCCGTCCGTGCTTCCCCCTTCCCCATACCAGATCGACGATCAGGATCGCATCAAGGCGGCACGGACGGCCTTTGGCAACCCGTACCGGCAGGACAAGCCAGACATGCCCACAGCCAACGAGGCATTCCTTCGCCTGGACGACCAGAGCCCAGGCGCACCTGGGGCAGGCCCACCCGCCGGTGCAGGCTCATCTGGTGCAGGTTCGCCTGGAGCAGGCTTATCTGGCGGTGCTGCCGGTGGTACTGCTGCTGGCAGCGGTGGTGGTGGTGGTGGGTCTGCTGCTGCTGGTGCCAGCGGTGCTGCCTCTCCCAGTGTGCTTGCCCTTGCTCGCTCCCAGAAAAGGCGCCGGCGGTCAGAATCCCCAGCGCCCCCATCACCGTCTCCCCCTATGTCACCTCACCCCACACCTCCTCCCTCACCCTCTCCTCCCTCTCAGACTCCCCCGTCTTCTCCCTCTCCCCGTCCGCCCCTGTCCTCCGCATCACCCCGTGCGGTGCCTGTCCAAGCCTCACCATCAGCTCCGGCCACACTTCAAGCTGACCGTGCCTCGAGGCCTGGTGCGGCTGCTGCTGCTGCTGTGCGGCCAGCTACTCAAAGCAGCTGTTCAGAAGCGACAGTGCCCCCTGCTGCTGCTGCTGCTGTTGCAGCTGTTTCTGCTGCTGCACCAGGCGGCGTCGCTGGTGCCTCTGGCTCTCGCCCTGGTTCAACCTCAGCAGCGGCAGGAGCAGCGGCAGGAGCAGCAACAGGTGGAAGATCTGCCGCAGCTGCTCTATCCGCTCCCACCGATGCAAAACCAGCTAAAGCAGGAGCCACAGGAGCACCTACAGGTTCAGTTATGGAAGCAGCTACAACAATAGCAGCAGCAGCAGGTCGTGTAGAGGCAGGAGGGGGTGCTGTTGCCGCCGCTGCCACTGCAGTTGCTCCCTCTATTGCTGCGGTGGCTACACCACTGAATCTCTCTGCTGCTATTGGCTCTGCCATTTCTCCAGCCATGGCGGAAGAAGACAAGCGACGTGAGCTCAGCCATCCACTGTTCATGCCAGAGAGCTGCTACCGGGCGGCTCAAGCGATGGAGAGGCGGCAGCAGGAGTCCATGCAATGGCCCAGAGAAGCAGCCGCAGGAAAGGAGCGAGGTTCGGGTCAGGGGGAAGAGGTAGGAGGAGTTTCTGAGGGTAGAGAAACAGGGGTAGCTGTGGAGATAGGAGACAGGGGCGTGGCAGGAGAGGGAAGAGGAACAGGGGAGGGTAGAGGAGGAATGGAGGGTAGAGCAGGAATGGAGGGTAGAGGAGGAATGGAGGGTAGAGGAGGAATGGAGGGTAGAGGAGGAATGGAGGGTAGAGGAGGAAGGGAGGGTAGAACAGGAATGGAGGGTAGAGGAGGAATGGAGGGTAGAGGAGGAATGGAGGGTAGAGGAGGAATGGAGGGTAGAGGAGGAATGGAGGGTACAGGAGGAATGGAAGGTAGGGGAAGAGGGGCAAAGCGGCGGAGGGTGATAGCTGAGGGGGAGTCGCGGGATTGGACGGTGGATGTGGGGCTGGAGGAGCGGGTGGAGGAGCAGGAGGACGTCGTGGCGCTGGCAATGCGGAGGGGCAATCCTCGCTGGCGCACTGTGCGCACACCAGCTGGCAACGAGAGGGATCAGGAGGAGGTGGTGGACTTTCTGCTGTCAATCTACCGGGTGCTGCGGTCTGCGCGTCCGAATAACACGAAGGAGGTGCGAGAAATGCACTAGAGAGTGAATGTTGTGTATGGGTTGGAGAGGCGAAAGTAATTGGCAGTGCTGGTATGATGGTGCTTTTCTTGGAATGGTGGTCGTTGGAAATGGTTTAATGTGGTTTCACCTTCATGTTGGATTCTTGCAGCTTTTTGCCCTTCTCTCGGTGCCCGACTTCCCTGTGGACAAACACCATTTTGTACAACAGCTTGTAGAAAAGGTAAGGGAAATTGTTTCTGGAGAACTGTAGAGTTTCTGTTCTATTTCGGTTTTTTTTTTCTTCTTCTTATGGTTTTTTGTTCCCGATTTTGTTGATGACATACAGGCCCGCAGATTTAACAAGCATTTTCTTGTGAGGGAATTGTCAGACTATCTAGCAGCGCCTGCAACATGAAAACATTGTTTTATCAGACAAGTGTTTTATTTCTGAACTACAGTTCGCGGTTCATCACGACGGGTACTATATCCGCTTATCTTCCGAAGTGTCTGAGCTCAGCGCAATCCAGCTGCTGCAAGGGCCAGCCTCTCACATCTCACTCTGTGCTGTGCTGTTCGCTTTTTGCACTTTCATTCGTCAAGGCTTTGACGCCTCGAATCAGAGTCTGCCACATCACGACGCTTTGCGAATGCGCCTCCGTTCGGCGGCTCGTCCTTCAATTGGCATTTGGGACCACCCCATCATCACAGACCAAGGCTAAACCAACCACAAGCCTGGTGTGGCCTTGAGATGATCGGACTGCGTGTGCTGGAAATTTCTTGCTCCTGAAACCAAGCCATCGATGCAGCAAAATGAACAATCTGCCGAGCCGCCAGAGGAGGAACTGGGCAGGTAGGGAACATCGTGAAATGCGTCCACCAATCAACATCAAGAATTCAGTATTCCATGATTCTAGATATTTCTAATTGCTCCGTCACCATCTACAGCGCATTGCACCACTTGTTGCCGCTTTTCGCTGCATCATCTCGGGCTGCTGCTTGCGGGAATTGCTGGCCTTGCTGAAGCTGAACTGAACACCCCGCTCCAAGCCCTGGACTAGGAGAATCAACCAGCATTTTGGTTGGGAATATAAATTGAGCAGCAATATCGAAAGCAGCGACGCTCCTTCAGTCTAAACGAAGCTACTTTCTTTTGAAGGCTGCAACCACAGCTCCTGAGCTTCGCACAGCACCAGCAACAGACGCTATTCTTTGCCATTTCTCTTATCGGTCCTAGCAAGATTTCGACGCAGCAGCTCTCCTTCAGCCCATTTGCACTGAAGCAGCACGATGTCTTCCGCTGTTACAGCCACCATGACGACATCTATCAGACCCTCGTTCCTTGGATCGAGGATAGAGCTTCTCAGAGGAACCGATGCTGCTGGAGCTCGACTAACCATGCGGGTAGGACCGCGGATTGCGTCGTCGGTCAGCGTTTGGAAGGGCGAAGCTGAACTTCTAGAAGCTGTGTCCAGATGGCGCAGTTCTCCAGGGGAACTGCAGTTTTCCTTCCTCGTCGGCGAATATCCGGAAGAGTGCAGATGGCGCTCGGCGGGACTATCTGTCGATCCTGAGTCATTCGCCAAGACTACAGCCCTCGAGGTACCCATCCCGTTTACGCCACCTCTCCTGGACCACCCTCCTGTTTCCTGTCTGTAGTTCAGCGTGTTAGGCTCCCGTTCCTTCGTTTTCACTTTTCTTTCTAACCTTCGTCATACTTTTGGTGATGCTGCTTGGATTCCTTCCAGGTGATTCACGCGCGTTGGGCTATGCTTGCCGTCGTCGCGTGCCTCGTCCCAGAGACCGCTTTCCGGATACTTCAAGCTTCGCACCTCGCTGGCGGCAGCAACATCGACTCCATAAGAACCTCGATCCTTGGTAGCACGACAAGTTTGATCGAGTCTTGTGACTTTTGCACCGCGAAGACCATCCTCGCTATTGGCGCGATCCAGATCCTCGGCATGGCTGCGGTCGAGGCGTTTCGGGTTGCAGGGGGGCCTCTAGGCGACGCAAGCGGCTCTGTTTATCCAGGAGGTTTCTTCGACCCGCTGGGCCTGGCAGACAGCAGTAATCCAACTGAGCTGGCGAAGCTAAAGGCTAAGGAGCTTCAGAATGGGCGTCTGGCCATGTTCTCTATCTTGGGATTCGCAGCACAGGCAGCCGTGACAGGGAAAGGACCAGTTGAAAACCTGATGGAGCATATGGCGGATCCCAAGGTGCACAACGCCTGGACGTACGCCGAGGGATTGTTCCACTGACCAGAGTGCTCATTTTGAGCCATGGGTCGCCATGATGAGTTACTTTTACATCGAGTTCCTCTTTGTGTCTTTCCATGTACATTCCACCCCTTCAATTTTGTTTAGTTTCGAATGGTATGGGGTATGGCATACCTCTCGTGGCCTTGCTGCCTAAGTTGCACAGGAGAATAAGATTATATCTGTGGTTAGTTTTCTTTTTCAGATATATAAACTTCATTTGGTGAGACTCTAGCGCTGATAAGAAATTCTACACTGATGAAAACCATAAAGATTCCTAGTGGTGCTTTACGTTTTCGAACAGTACAGATCGTTACAGTAGATTCTTCGACACGTATATCTCTCATGGTTGCGATAGCATGCCTCATTAGATTACCTCAGTGTGGTTCAGTAAGGCGGTAACTGCTAGCCCAACGGTTTCTCAAATAATTAAAGCGGTCGGGTAGGGTTTGTGACACTTTCAGCCGAAAAGGGGAGACTTGGGTTGGTTTGATAGAGCTCTTCTCCCATCCAATGCTGGATGTGGTGGATAGGAGTCGTTGAATCCGTTCCCAGCGCCAACTCTTCCTGTCCTGATGCCCAGTGTGTGAAGCACCTACCGCGATTCGCGTCTTCTGGTTAAAATCTTTCGTGTTTGTCCATTGTGCCGCTCTCGAAAAACGCCACCTAACGGGTATGACGGAACGAATGCGAGGAGGAAACGCGAAAATGATGTGATTAGGACGAGTAGTAGAATCTTATAACTCAGCTAATGCATCATATTTCACTGAACCGTCGTGAATACGATGGAAGATTCGTTGCTTGATGACGTGTTTGGACCGCCGTCGCCATCACCCGATTGTCCTGCGTCGCCTCCTAGCCCTCCCGTAATCTCCCATGATCCCCCGTACTCTCCCTATTTCCTTGAAATTCGTCGTACTGGACCCGGTTACTCCGCATCACCGCTTTCCACCGCTTTCCAGCTGTCCGCGTCTCCGTAAGACTTGCTCCTCCAACCTCTTAGCCACTCCCCGCCACCCTTTGTTGTCCTGTCAAGTCACGTTGTTCAACATAGAAGCTTCTTGCACGCAGTTAACTGTCCCGCATTCCCTCTGTTCCGATGTCAGGTGGCTCTTCGCGATTGTAGCGAGTGTGATTGTCTCAGCGGACAAGGCAGCCGGGAATGGACGCGTGTGGAGGAGGTGGAGGGGCTGTGGCTGTGCCGGGGGTTTCTTACAAAGAAGGAGCAATCTGTTGTCTTGAATGCAATTGCACGGGGTAAAACACAAACCAAAGCTTTCATTCGAGTTACTTTTCGTTTCTTCCCAACAATTGTACTAGCATGTGATGTTTTATCAATGGTGTGCAACTGAGGCATGTCACTCACTCGCGTGAGTTCCACCACTCAATAATGTCGATCATGTCAAATAATCATTTTTTACAGTACTGATTGTGTTACATATGTTCATTTTGTTGCTTTCTCGGGCTCATTTCTTCCTCTGTGCTTCACCTTTCCGTTGTGCCTTCAGAGAAATGGTTTGACCCACCAGTCAAGAATCAGGTAAAGCCAAGCTTTACCATATGCCATTATTCTGACAAACATCTCACATTCTTTCTTATGCACAGGAGATGAATTACACGCACTTGTGTTATTTTATAACATGCTCACCGTGTCTTGGTTCAGTTTCTTATTAATGTTTAAACCGCCCCACTTCACCCACTCAACTGTCGGTTTTGCTCTACTCTGCCTTTCAATTCCTCCCTCAGGCCATGCGGTTTGGCAATCTTCCCCCTATTGCCATGTACCTGACAAAGTTGGTCCGGGCTGCTGCTTCTGAGCGAGCTCTAGTCCCCGCTGCTGACGATGCTGCTGCTGCGGCTTCGGGTCAATCAACTGCTGCTATTAGAGGGGATGGAGCGTTTGCTGTAAAGGGAGTGGAAGGTACGTGTGGGTTGATGAGCGAGGAGAGGGACGGAGGCTGGGGCGATGGTGCTGCTGGGAGTGGGAAGGGACTGCTTGAGGGGAGAGGAGGAAGGGGGGATGGTGAAGGGAGTGGGAGGGAACTGGTTTGGGAACATAGTGGAGGACGAGAGGAGGGAGCAAGGGAGGATGGGGAAGAGCATGGGAGGAGTGGTTGTTGTCGGAAGAGGCGGAAGAATGGAAAGCAGGAGGGAGACTTGGAGGATGTGTCGAAAAGGAAAGCGGGGAGAGGTGTGCAAGAGCAAGAGGGGGAAGGAGTGCAGGAGGCGAATGGCCCCGAGGAGGTGCTTTCAGGCAAGCATGCGAATTCTGACCTCTTCCAAGTTGTTGGAGCCGAACCTGAAAAGGCTGGGACTGGCACGGAAGTTGGAAGTGAGCAATTGCAGGTGGTTGGAGCTGAAAATGACGAAGCTGAGCAGTTGCGGGTGCAGCCGCTGTCTCGGTGCGTGCTGCAGCGAGAGCCCCTGTTCGACCAGATGATTGCCAACTGGTACAGCGGAGACCAGGTGAGGCTTTGCTCTCGACTCGACCATGCTCTGCATCCTTCCACCCAACCATTCGCGAATCACGGCGCGTGCTGCAATGAGAGCCCCTGTTTGACCAGATGATTGCCAACTGGTACAGCAGAGACCAGGTGAGATGACATGTTTCCCTCGCCCATCCCATCCTTCCAACCGCCCATGCCTCCCATCCTCCCGTTCCTCCACTCATGCATTCACCCACCCACTCATCCATCTACCCACTCACCTACCCAACCACCCACCCACCCACCCTGCCATCCTCCCATCCATCCATTCACCCATGCTCCCATCGACTCCTGAGTCACCACACTGAGCGTGAAGGTCTCTTCCGCTATTTATCCACATGTCCTCCCCTATCCACATGTCCTCCCCTATCCACATGTCCTCCCCTATCCACATATCCGTCCCCATGCACACACCTCGTTCCGATTCCCATGTCCCCCCTTATCCCCATTTCTCCCACTTAACCATCCGTGGCATGGTGTGCACGCCTGCATCCATCTACCTGTTGCTGATGTGGCATGCATTCACCCATCCGCCCTCCCATTGCTGACGTGGCACAGGGTATCAAGCCGCATGTGGACTTGATGCGGTTCGACGATGGCATTGCCATCCTCTCCCTCCTCTCCCCCTGCGTCATGACCCTTGCCCCCTTTCCCCCCACGACCACCGCTCCCAATCCCACCCGCACCACCACCGTCAACCCCACCAGCACCATCCTCACCATTGCCACCGCAAGGCCGCCTTCTTCCCTCCCTGACTTCACTGATCAGCCAACCCGCTGCCCTGATCAACCACCCTCATCCATTGCAGCAATGCCCTCGCCCTTTCCTGATGCTGCAGATGCACCATCTACTGCTGCTAGACCGTCAGACCATCCTTATGATCTTGGGTTTTCCCTCCCAGTGCTCCTTGCTCCTGGAGATCTGCTGCTCCTTTCGGGTTCTGCTAGGTATAATTGGACTCACGGTATTATCAGAGATGACGAGCACCAGCAATGGGAGGGAAAGCAAGTGCCTAGGCAAGAACGAATGTCTCTTACATTGCGCAAGCTGCTTCCACAATAATATATTCTGCCATCTCGAGTTTGTCTAGTAGGTGCAAAGTAGCATGGTTGCCTTTCACTACACAATATTCCCTTGTATATTAAACCTTGGTGTAAGTCGTCACGTAATTGGTAATTTTTTATGCACTAAAGGCAGCGGAGCTCCGAACATCCCAAATCCTCGATCTTCAAACGCGAATAGCATGAGCTGAACATTCATGATAGACAACCATCATCACAGGTTCACGCGATTGTGACCGAGCCGTGAAGCCTAGCCCTGCTCCCTCATCCTTTTCCTAGTCTTGCGTCGTGATTCATCCCTAAGTCGGCACGAGCTTGCCTCCTGGGCTTTGCGATGTGCTATTAACGAATGCATGAGGCGATGGTTCTAGTAACGGAGGCATGAGGCCACGTCCGAGGTTGTCGCTGCAGCATTTCGTGCTTCAGGCGAAAGCGAAGGCACTTTACCGGGATGCTCTCAGGACGGCGCGACTCGCGCCGCCAGAATCCCGAGGTGTGTTGCTGCTCTATGCACTCCGCGTGGGTCTCGCCGCGTGCACCTCTGGATTTGCATTTCGTAATGACTTTCCAGTCAACTCGAGATTAACATTGCGTTGACCCAAAATACATCTCGCCTGAATAATCTTGAGATGATCGCTCCAGACACTCCGCGTAGTGCTCGCTCCGTAAACCACTGGATTTGCGCTTTGCGCTTTGTGCTTCAAGCGAAAGCTGAGGTGCTCTACCGGGATGCTCTCCGGACGTTGCGATCCGTAGGGATCGCGAGGTGCATTGCTGCTTCAAAGAGCCATGTTCCTTGCTCCAGAGAGCCGTGTTGCTTTCTCCACACAGCCACGATCCTTGCTCCAGAGAGCCGTTTTCCTTTCTCCACACAGCCATGTTCCTTGCTCCATACAGGCGCTGCTTGTAAGCTAAACTGGTAGATAAGAGGCGCTGAGTGTTTACCTGCTCCACAGTCTGGTGCGACAATAGCCGGAGCTGAATTTCGAGTAGACTAAAAAATCTTAACAGGTGCTGGATGCTTTAAAAACTGGTTGATAAGAGGCGCTGGTTGTTTGCCTGCTCCACTGTTTGCCCGATGTTGCTCTCATAAGCATATCCGTCCGTTCTGTTCGTCTGTTCGTTCCTTGGCTCGAAGCAGCTGATTTGGAGAAAATAATCCGAGACGAAGCAGAGAAGCATGCTGGGGAGAGCGACATCAGCAAGATACGGTTTTACATGAGCGAGGGCATGCAGCGGTTGAAGGAGCTGAAGTCCATGCTGGATAATCAAGGCCGCTGATTTGCTGAACTTTCCCCATCTGAGCTGGGTTGAACAGGGTTTTACTGAGCTGAGCTGAACTGATTCGAGCTGACTTTTGATGGGTTTTGATAATAATGATGCTGGTGCTGACGAGTGAGGACTCACCACCAGGTGGTTACTCGGTCCAACGAGGAAGTGAAGAGAGCCAGTTGCACAAGCATGGTTACTGAGATTCCGGTGGTTTATTCAGGGAAGTACATAAACGGACTGTGGCAAATAAGGGGTTCCATCTTGGGTTTTTCTCACCGTAACACGTGTGGCACCCACTAGCTCTGTAATCAAGGCAACACAGAAGCTGCCGTAGGAACATTTTGCTGTGATGATGATGTTAATGAACAGGACAGTATGTTTCCTTCCCGTATGGACATCAATACGGGTGATAGTAGAATTTGGAAACATGTTTTTGCAGGGTTGAGGAAGTCTTCATGAATACTCGAATTAAACCAAACATAATTTCATTTGCCTGAACACCTCTGTTGTCAAACTGAGTGGGCAAGGTGTGCAGATCTAGGTGTTAATCGAAAATTTTATGTTAAGGTACGGTAGTGGAGAATCCTATAGCGGCTTACACAGACAGTTTCAATCAAAAGACCACCCCACACATTGCCGAGAAATTGTCACGCCACGAATGAGAGCCTTTCGCTGCCCGACAAGCGTTCAGTCCTGATCTGATAGGTTCATTTCCACTCTCCCGCCAGCCTAGAGATCTTCTACCCCTGCCTTGAAATTGTTTTCGGGGTCAGAAAGGGGTGCCTTATGTGGTAACCAGTTTCGTCATTTGGGAATAGCGCTCGCAGAAGGTCGGCTGAACGAACAACAGACATGAACCTGTGCGTGAGAATTCGCCTAGCAGCCTTGGGATCCGAGAACGTACATCGTGGTCGTCCCTGCTCTGCTCACTCCTACAAGCAGAGCTTTTGCGTGTGGAATTCCGGTTAGCTGCTGTCATATGAGCTCCACGGTCGATTTTATGGCCATTCGGGTGTTGGATGACTCATGCCTGCTCTCTGGCTGATCATCCCTTGTGATCGCACCAAGGAAGCGTGTTTCGACGCTTCCAGCTGACTCTTTTACGAGGAGTCATTCAGGCAATTACAGTCGAGTTATCGATGCGGTTGTTCTACAAACTGCTTTTCCGTCACTCATTTTCACTCCAACCGTTTCTGTGCCCGTTGCGTTTATAGTGGCGACTGCTGCGGCAATCGCGACTCTTGCGACTACTATAGCGACCGGTGCAACTATTGCGATTAATCCATAGACTCCCATGGACGACCTAATATCTCTAGGCGAGACGTTACAGCAGGCGTCGTCGGCCCTCGTGGGAGACGACATTCAGGCGGACCCTCGCTCGGGGTCGGCTCCTGTCATCCAGCTCTTGGTCATCGGCGCGCCGGTACGATGCTCGTTGAGTCGACACAGACGTACGACGTTCGTGAATCAGAGTTACCACGTTCTTAAGTCGACTCGGAAGTACGACGCTTGTCAGCACATTAGGACACTGTTATGCTCCCATCCTTCTGTCCTGCTGTCCTGCTGACCTGCTGTACTTCTTTTTCGTCGGCGCTTCGCTACGACGCTCGATCGTGACGCGTTTCTTAGCTTCTGACACGCTATTGTGATGCCTCAGCACATGACACGTTCGATCGCCATGTCCGACACGTTATTGTGGTGCCTTCGCGTACGACGCGTTCGTTCATGGTCTCTTAGCGTACGACACTCTGTCATGAATGGCGTTTCAGTGTCCGACTGTTGTTACAATCTCCAAGGCTCCGAGTTAACAAGCGTTAGCCATTCCATAGCAAGGATTAAGCTTTCATTCCCAGATGCTTCTTCCGTCGCTCGGTTTCCAAAAATCTGTTGAAGGACTGATGTTATTGAGCTTCAAGCCTGGTCGGATTGCTTTCGTGTTATTACCTGCAGGGTTCGGGAAAGTCAGCTGTCCTCAACACGCTCATCGGCCATGCCGTCCTGGTATGTCAGTGGATTATATTTATTATGTCTTTCCTGTGTCTGCTAAAAAGTACTCGATTTTAATGGTCTTGCGTAAGTTGATTTGTTCACTTGCTGGTAACTCTTGACTCACTGAAGGACTTCTCTCGCTGGCAACTGTTGAGGCGGTTTAGCAGTAGGTTCACCTGTGGCTTTGATAGGACGAGCATCCTCTTATAACGACTTATCTTCTCATATGCGTTCACTGTTGTCATCCTGGATGCATCTCAGTACCTTCAATGCATTTTCTAACGTGCATCCCTTCCTGTTAGATTTAATGCATGCACGCTTTTGCACCGCAATAAGAAACCACTTACTGGTGCTCTGCTGGCTGATCTCTGACTCCTTTGCTTTCTGTCCTGCGTTGTGTTTCGTTTTCCCAACTTTTGCCTTCTCTCCCGACTTCTCCTTGCTCGGTATCCCTCCAGCCAACAGGAGAGGGCGGGTGCACGCGCTTCCCAGTGCTGGTTGACTTGCATCGCGACCAGAACTTGTCGGCCGGCGCTGTGCGCGGCAATCTCGGCGCCAGAGCCAACATGCCCAAGCCCTGTAAGTGCAAATCGCTTTTGAGTCGACTCAAAAGCAGGCTCTGTGCGCGCCAATCTCGGCGCCAGAACCAACATGCCCAAGCCATGTAAGAGAAAACCCTTTCCAGGGATAACTAACTCATATGGCTCATTGACTGGCCTGGTGCCTTGACTATGTGTTCCAGTAAACTCCAGGAGTGCCAAGGTGACTGTTAACTCTGGTGGTCATCAGAAAGAGGGTTTCCACTCGTGGCAATCTGAAAGTGAAACGTGCGCCTGTCCTTCTCTCATTGCTGCTCTCTGCGTTTTTGTCTCTGTGTGCAGCGGAGATCCGGCAGGCACTGCAGTCCGACATGAGCAAGGCCAAGGGGTCGTCCAGGCACAGAGAGGAGGCGCAACTCATTCTTCGCTCACCGATTGGTCCGTCCATCTCTCTCCTTTCCTTCAATCTTCTCGCTCGCAATTAATGAGTGCGTGCTTCTCAGCTGCAAAGTGACAAAACAGTTTTCCAGGTTCCAACATTACCGTTCTTTCGATTTCTCACTCCCTTACTCAAGTGCCGCCGTCCTGTGCCTCCTTTTGAACCCGTGGTTTCCCTTGCCCCCGTGCACAGCCCCACCAATGCGCATCATCGATCTGCCTGGAATTGAAAAGGCGTCGCAAATGGACGGAGCAGTAAGCATTTTCTCTGCCATGTGGCCATGAATCGATTTTATTGTACACAGACTGTTCTACTTTTGTTAACGTGAACTGGATGTTGTGTTAAGTTTAGCTTTATGACAGACAACAGTATTTTGCGATCCGTGCCTTGACGTGTTCGTTTCTAGTATAGGACAGAGCGTGTCCAACGTTGATACATGAAGTCATCCTGGTGTATCATGAATGACGATTTCAATGAAGCCAGCATCAGAAACTGATTTTGACAATGTCACAACAGTGTGCTCTGTCCTGTTGGGCGCCTTGCACTCCTTGTCTGATGCATGCAGTTCCAGGACAACGTGCCCAACAGCGATGCAGTCATCCTGGTGTGAGGCGTCTCAAATGAAACCAGCATTGACTGGTTTCGACAACGTGCCCTGTACTCCCACACTTTGTGTTTCTTGCATTGCACTCCACGTGTGCATGAGTGCAGTTCCAGGACAACGTGTCCAACAACGATGCAGTCATCCTGGTGGTGATCTCTGCCACGGCAGTCAAGGACTCTCTTAAGATCCTCCGCATCGCGCACGACATCGACAGAGAAGGTGAGTGAGTGGGGGCATGGGATGACTGTTGAGTCGACTCAAAAATCACCTCATCTCCCTCCACCACAGCAGTCAAGGACTCTCTTAAGATCCTCCGCATCGCGCACGACATCGACAGAGAAGGTGAGTGGAGGGCATGCATTGTAATTCGTGTTGCCAGGGTCTGCATTGTAGGGGCCTTTATCTTAGGTGGCTCATTAACGCAGTCATTCTGGTGGTGGTCTCTGCCACAGCAGTCAAGGACTCGTTTAAGGTCCTCCGCATTGCTTATGACATCGATAGAGAAGGTGAGTGAGTGGGCATGGAATGACCTTTGAGTCGACTCAGGTGTGAGGACCATCAGTGTGATACCAAACTCGACCAAGTCATGAATGACAGTGACACAGCAAAGCTGGCGGTGCCGGTGGACCTGCTGAAGAGCCAGCCAGGTTGACTAAATGCACGCCCTTTTCAATCTCCTCCTTGTACAACCAACCCCAGGTGTGAGAACGATTGGAGTGATCACGAAATTCGACCAAGTGATGAAGGACAGGGACACGGCGAAGCTGGCAGTGGATCTGCTGCAGAAGCAGGCGGACTCAAAGCTTGCTGCTTCCATTTCCATTCCTTGCAATGCAGGTGTGAGAACCATCGGGGTGATTACAAAGTTCGACCATGTGATGAAGGACAGGGACACGGCGAAGCTGGCAGTGGATCTGCTGCAGAAGCAGGGAGCGGCCATGGCCCAGGACTACCCGTGGGTGGCTGTCATTGGGCAGCCTCTGGGAGACAAGGACACAAATGAGCCCATGGATGGTGCATGGCAGGAGGAATACAAGGTCTTATCGCAGGTGCGTTGAGAGTTCAGCTCTGGGCTGTTGCAGTGTATGAAGTACCCATGGCCCGTGGGTGGAGGTGATTGGACAGCCTTTGGAGGACAAGGATGCGAATGAGCCCATGGATGGCGCTTGGCAGGAGGAGTAGAAGGTCTTATCGCAGGTGCGTGTTGTGTTGTGTTGTGTTGTGTCGTGTTGTGTTGTGTTGTGTCGTGTCGTGTCGTGTCGTGTCGTGTCGTGTCGTGTCGTGTCGTGTCGTGTCGTGTCGTGTCGTGTCGTGTCGTGTTGTGTTGTGTTGTGAGTGGTGACTGTTGGCATGCTGCGTGACAGGAGAAGTTCAAGGTGCTGTCGCAGGAGTGTATAGAGAGCTCTGCTCTGGGTGAGTGTGAATGGAAACTGGAAGCTGTTGCAGTGTGCAACGTACCTGTGCGTTGGTGACTATGATTGGGCAGCGTCTGGGGGACAAGGGCAGGAGCGAGCCCATGCTGAAGGATCAGGAGAGAACAGCTCACCTTTAGCCTCCGTCCTTGCATGATAGAAGTGTAGTTTTGAGACGTCTCAAAACTTAACTTCTATCACGAGGGCACAAACGAGCCCACGATGAAGAATTAGGAGAGAACAGCTCACCTTTTGTCATCCGTCCTTGTGTTCTGTTGTGTTGCATTCCATTGCATGCCTTACATGGCAGGTGATGCGGGCGAATGGAGTGAAGGGCATGGACACGCCCATGGATCGGATGTGACGATCTCTTAGACACTTCGCATACCTTCCTTGCTTGCCTTGCATGGCAGGTGATGCGGGCGAATGGAGTCAAAGGCATGGACACGCCCATGGGTCGCGACGCGTTGCTGCGGCTGATTGCTCGCACCGTGCGGCACAAGATGAAGGAAAAGATTCCTCGCATTATGTCCGCGTAAGGCTCTCCCACCCTCTCTACTCACTCTCACTCTCACTCGCTCACTCCCGCTGGCTTGCCGACTCTCACTCTCAAATGAGAGAATAGCTCACTCTCACTCACTTCCCCCCTTCCTCCCCCACACCTTTTCCCCTCCTTTCCCCCCTTCAACCTGTTCCCATCAGCTTGGAGGGTCGGTCTGAGGAGGTGGACGCGGAGCTACTCAGGCTGGGCGACTCACTGGTCTCCAGCCTCAACGGCTCGCGTACCCTCGCGCTGGAGGCTGGAGCTCTGCTGAGGGGTTAGAAACAAACCACCCCTTCCTCCCCTCCCCCCTTCACTCCTCCCTGTGCCCATCAGCCTGGAGGGTCGGTCTGAGGAGGTGGACGCGGAGCTACTCAGGCTGGGCGACTCACTGGTCTCCAGCCTCAACGGCTCACGTGCGCTCGCGTTGGAGCTGTGCCGAGGGTTTGAGACCAAGTTCTGCGAGAACCTGGACGGCAGTGAGGTGCGTGTGTGCTGGGGAAGGGAGTGAGCATGATGGGGTATTGCAAGGTGGTGGTGCAGGTGGGGGGAAGGGGCGGCTCCCTGGTGTCCAGTTTGAATGGCTGTGTGCCCTCGCCCTGGAGTTGTGCCGAGGGTTTGAGACCAAGTTCTGCGAGAACCTGGACGGCAGTGAGGTGCGTGCGCTTAGAGGTTGGAGGGAGGCATTATGGCATGGGGTGTTGCAAGGTGGTATGGATGGAGGGGGCTGGTGGGGGAAAAGGGCGGCCGTCTATGTTCAGGGTGCACTGCACGGCTCGCGTGCACGTGCACTCGCCCTGGAGCTGTGCCGAGGGTCCAAGTTCTGCGAGCACCTGGATGGCAGTGGGGTGTGTTGCAAGGTGGTATGAAAGGGCGGCTCCCTTGTGTCCAGCCAGCCTCAACGGCTCATGTGCACTCGCCCTGGAGCTGTGCTGAGGGTCCAAGTTCTGCGAGCACCTGGATGGCAGTGAGGTGTGTTGCAAGGTGGAGGGGGCAGGTGGCGGGAAAGGGTGGCTTCTTAGTTTCCAGCCTCAACGGCTCGCGTGCGCTCGCATTGGAGCTGTGCCGAGGGTTTGAGACCAAGTTCTGCGAGCACCTAGATGGCAGTGAGGTGCGTGGGCTGGGAAGAGCGCTTGAGAAGGTGTTGCAAGGTGGTATGGAGGGGACAGGTGGGTTTAGAGGATTTTGGACCACTGTTAAGAATTTTAAGAATTTTATTTAAAAAAATATCTTGAATGTGACTCTAACAGGGCGGAGGGATGCAGATGGTGGCGAGATCACAGATGCATTTCGCTTCAGAGGGCTCCCTTTTTGCAATATGCTCGAACAAACCCCGTCTGGTTCCTTCAATGCACCCGTTTGCCTCCACGCCATGCCACATGCCCAGGGCTTAGGTTCACAGATGGTGAAGAAGTTTGTAGGTACGCTGCCTCTTCAGCATGCTCAAACAAACCCCGTTCTGGTTCCTTCCTTCCATCCACCTCTTTGCCTTCCACTCACCCCTTCGTCTCCACTGCACTACATCCACAGGGCGGAGGGTCACAGATGGTGGAGAAGTTTGTGGGCACGCTGCCGCTGTGCTTCAGAGGGCTCCCTTGTGGCAGCAGCATGCTCGAACAAACCCCGTTCTGGTTCCTTCCATGCACCACCCCTTTGCTTCCACTCCACTCCACGCCCACAGGGCGGAGGGTCGCAGATGGTGGAGAAGTTTGTGGGCACGCTTCCGCTGCGCTTCAGAGGGCTCCCTCTGGACGAAACGTTCAGCTTTGACAACGTCAAGAAGGTGAGTGGGTGACCCGACCGACTCTATAGTCGACTGAAAAAGGATTGCCGCTGCGCTTCAGAGGGCTCCCTCTGGGCGACATGTTCAGCTTTGACAACGTGAAGAAGGTGAGTGAACCAATTCTTTGATCGGGTTGCTGCGCTGCGCTGCACTGCACTGCAGTTCAGGTCAGAGGGCTCCCTCTGGACGACATGTTCAGCTTTGACAACGTCAAGAAGGTGAGCGAGCTGTTGATGGTCTCCTGTTTGCCCCTGCTGCTACTGCTTGTCACAACAACAGCGAGAAAACGCCCACATGGCCTCTAAGGTATTTTTTCCATCTCCATGTTGTGACTCATGTCTTATCTGTACTGCTCATTCCCTTGCGTGCGTTCTTTGCCGATCATACCAATTGCTTTTGCCGTTGTCTTTGGCTGCTGTGCCATCAGGCGGCAATGGTGGCGGGCGGATGGCGACCAGCCATACCTGCTGTCTCCAGCAAAGGGCCTTCATGTATATCTAGTCAGCGTAACAACGGCTGTCGCTCCCTCCATTCCCTTTCACCACTCCTTCCCTCCTACTCCTCTGTTCCGTCACTCACTCCCACCGTCACCCCACCAGGTGGTGATGGTGGCGGACGGGTACCAGCCATACCTGCTGTTGCCAGCGAAGGGCGTTTACGTATTCCAGGTCAACGTAACAACTGCTATCTCTCCCGCCATTCGCTCCCACTCCTCATTTCCATCACTCCCACTGCTGCCCCACCAGGTGGTGATGGTGGCGGATGGGTACCAGCCATACCTGCTGTCGCCAGAGAAGGGCCTTCAAGCCTGCTCCACGTCCCTCCCACCACTCCCTTGCGTTATTCTTACTGTTGTCCCACCAGGTGGTGATGGTGGCAGGCGGGTACCAGCCATACCTGCTGTCGCCAGAGAACAGGCATTTAACTACAGCTATCTCTCCTGCCATTTCCTCCCTCTCCTCCCTTCCGTCACTCCCACTGCTGCCCCACCAGGTGGTGATGGTGGCGGACGGGTACCAGCCATACCTGCTGTCGCCAGAGAAGGGCCTGCGCCTTCTCATCAAGAGGAGTCTCGAGCTGGCTAAGCAGCCTGGCATTGACTGTGTGGACGAGGTGAGAGCAGGAGTTTGACTGCGGTTGACTCTTGTTGACTTGAATTAACTGGATTGACTACGTCTGTTCATCAAGAGGAGTCTGGAGCTGGCCAAGCAGCCTGGCATTGACTGAGTGGACGAGGTGAGGACCCGACTGGCTTCGGTTGACTCAGTTGACTCTGATTGACTGTCTGCTCTTTAAGAGGAGCCCGGAGCTGGCCAAGCAGCCTGGCATTGACTGTGTGGACGAGGTGAGGGGGAGGGGAGTGATTGCGGTTAACTGGATTGACTTTGACTGGCTTTTGACTGTTACTGAAAGTCTGGAGCTGGCCAAGCAGCCCGGCATTGACTGCGTGGACGAGGTGAGAGGGAGGGGAGTGACAGTTGGTCGCAAGGGAGAGGGGAAAGGTTTGATTGTTGCTGCGTCTTTTTTATGGTTGACTTCGGTCAACTAGCTTCCAGCCATTAATCAGCCTGGATCGGACTGAATGCGTTTGGTGTGTTTGAGGTGAGAAGCTTCATACGTAGATCAGGGTGAGAGGTGCGGCTTGGCATTGCAAGGAATTCTCTTTCTTAGCTCTGAGAGGTGCGGCGACAGATGTGTACCATCGACTCTGGGTGTGGTGGGTTTTGCTTTGCCGCCTGCCATCCTCTCTCCCCATGCGCTCCACGTGCCATCCCCATGCCATCCTTATGTCGTCCTTGTTTACATATCAAGACTCCTCTTTAATTGCTCCTGCCATGTCATCCCACACCCATGCATCCATGCATGCATGCATGCAGGTGCACAAGATCCCCGTGGACATTGTTGCTGCTGCGTTGACTTTTGAGCCAACTCAGAACTTGCCATGTCATGCCACACCCATCCATCCATGCAGGTGCACAAGATAGATCCTCGTGGACATCGTTGGAGCTGCCGCTTCACAAGCTTCTTCTTGAGACGTCTCAAGACTCCATTCTCCTCTTGACCTGCTCCTACCATGTCATGCAACATGCATCGATGTCACATGCCATACGCGTCCATGCAGGTGCACAAGATTCTCGTGGACATCGTTGCACCTGCGGCGGCATCATTCTCTTAACCCGCTCCTACCATGTCATGCCACACCACACCCCTCCACCCATGCAGGTGCACAAGATTCTCGTGGACATCGTTGCAGGTGCTGCGTCCCAAGCCCCTTCGCTCGTCCGCTTCCCACCCATGAAAACAGAGGTACAGTGAGTGGCTGCCTATAAGCTTCCCAGTTCACTTCACCCTATCTCCGCAGCCACCCCCGCGATCCTCTCTCCTCCCCTTTCCAAACACCGATACTTTCCTCATCCCGTCCCACGCCTTCTCCCTCCCGATCCCCCCTCCCTCTCTCCCACTCTTCTTTTCTTATTCATCATGGTTAAGTTAAAGGTGAGTGGGAGCAACGAATCTTGACACACGTGCCCCTCTTTCCCCGCTATCATAGCCAGCCCATGGCCATAACCTCATCTGCACTAGACAGCATATAGCATCACAGCCACGGTGCCCTGCCCTCGGGAGTCACTTTGGAGACCTTTCAAAAGTCATTCCAATATAGCCTCCTCTGCACTAGAGCACGCGCCCTGCGCTCTGCCCCTCCCCTCTTCCTGCTCCCTTCCCTCTGCTCTCCCACACTAACTCCCAGCTGGTGGCCATCGCGTCAGCAGCACTGGACGAGTATCGGCGCGGAGGCAAAGCGCATGGTGGCTTTTGGTACATTGCCTCCTCTCTTCTCCCTCCCTCCATCTCAGCTGGTGGCCATCGCATCGGCAGCATTGGACGAGTACCGAGCAGAGGCGAAGCGCATGGTGACAGCCATTGTGGACATGGAGAAGGGCTTCGTGGGCATGGCACCCTCTCCACATTTTCCCACTCTCGCTCCTTCTCTCCCTCTCCCCATCTCAGCTGCTGGCCATCACATCAGCAGCATTAGACGAGTATCGCGCAGAGGCAAAGCGGATGGTCACGGCATTGTGGACATGGAGAGAAGGGCTCGTGGGCATGGCACCCTCTCCACTGCCTTCTCCCCTTCTCCCTCCTTCACTCCAACCCCTCTCTCTATCCCAGCTGGTGGCCATAGCATCAGCAGCATTGGACGAGTACCGCACAGAGGCGAAGCGCATGGTGACAGCCATAGTGGACATGGAGAAGGGCTTCGTGCCGCCGTCGCACTTCATTGAGGCAGAGTATAAGCGGTGAGCTGCCGCCCCACCATGTGGTTCATGCCGCCCTCGCACCTGATTCGAGCCGCCCCCCTCTCCCTTGACTTGTGCAGCCATAGATTCATGCCCGAATCCGATGCACTTGACTCGTGCCACCCTCACACTAGATTCGTGCCACCCTCACACTTGACTCGTGCCACCCTCACACTTGACTCGTGCCACCCTCACACTTGACTCGTGCCACCCTCACACTTGACTCGTGCCCCCCTCACACTTGACTCGTGCCACCCTCACACTTGACTCGTGCCACCCTCACACTTGACTCGTGCCACCCTCACACTTGACTCGTGCCACCCTCACACTTGACTCGTGCCCCCCTCACACTTGACTCGTGCCACGCTCACACTTGACTCGTGCCACCCTCACACTTGACTCGTGCCACCCTCACACTTGACTCGTGCCCCCCTCACACTTGACTCGTGCCACCCTCACACTTGACTCGTGCCACCCTCACACTTGACTCGTGCCACCCTCACACTTGACTCGTGCCCCCCTCACACTTGACTCGTGCCCCCCTCACACTTGACTCGTGCCACGCTCACACTTGACTCGTGCCACCCTCACACTTGACTCGTGCCACCCTCACACTTGACTCGTGCCCCCCTCACACTTGACTCGTGCCACGCTCACACTTGACTCGTGCCACCCTCACACTTGACTCGTGCCACCCTCACACTTGACTCGTGCCCCCCTCACACTTGACTTGTACCTCCCTTGCACTAAGTTTGTTCTGCCTTTGCACTATAGTTGTGCTTCGCCCTCACTCCAAACTTGGACCGCCCTCTCTTGTTCATCTTCCCCCGGGCAGGCAGGAGAAGTTATGGAAGGAGTTGGAAGTGGCTCGCAAGGGCTTGCAGGACCGAGGCGTGCTCTCCCGCTCTGTGAGTCGTTGCCTCGCTCCCGCTCTGTGAATCATGTATGTCTCTATTTCCTTTAGTGAGTCCTCTTGCTCTCTCCATTGTTCGCTTCGTGAGTAAAGCCTCTCGATCTCTCTCCACTCACCACCACTCACTACCGCTCAACCTCACCCTTTCCTCGTTCTTCTGCCCTCCCCACCACCTTCCTCACACCAGTCGACAGGAGACAGTGGGGGCGGTCGCTTCGCCTCTGCCATGTCGTCATTCAGCCGCAAGAAAGAGCCTCCCCCACCTCCGGCCCCCTCTGATGCCTCTCAGTCCCTGGGTCCAGTCAAGGAGCTTGCAGGTACTGTGCTCTGCGATGGTTGAGATGGGTTGGGATGGGTTGGGATGGGTTGGGATGGGTTGGGATGGGTTGGGATGGGATGGGATGGGATGGGATGGGATGGGATGGGATGGGATGGGATGGGATGGGATGGGATGGGATGGGATGGGATGGGATGGGATGGGTTTTGTGAGATGATGGGATGAGGATGGGATGTTGCAAGGAGAATCCTCCCTCCCCTCCTCAATTCACCAGTGCCCCATGGTCACTGGCTCCAGTGTTGAGCTTGCAGCTGCTGAGATCTGTATGGGTTAAAATGGGTTCGGATGGGGTGAGTGGGGTGAGCTTTGTTGTTGATGCCTGAGTCTAGCATAGTACTCTCCTTCTTTTCCCATTTTTGTTGCCTGTTAATCTCATTGCTGTGGTGTCTGGTCAATATTTGATAGAATGCTTGCAACGCGTTTGTCACGATTGCTTGTTGCATGCTGCGTATTGCTGTTGTTTGTTGCTCTCCTTGCTGGTCAGCCTGTCAGGTTCTTTGTAAGTGCTTGTTACCATTACTTGTCGTTCGTTGCTGTTCTTGCTGCCCTTGCTCGTCACCCTGGCAGGGTTCCTCTGGAAAGTGAGCTCCAAGGGGGGATGGAGCAAGCGCTGGTTCGCACTCAGCGACAAGACCGCCCGGGTATGCCGCACAGCTTAGTCCCTTGAGATGAGACGTTGTTTTTCAAGGTGAGTGTTGAATCGACTCATTATTCAGCTTGAGGGTGGAGCAAGCAAGTGCTGGTTCGCACTCAGCGACAAGACCGCCCAGGTATGCAATGCTATGGCCCACACACACAGCGCAATCACCTGCCTCACGTCGCTGCTTCTCTATGCAAGTTCTTTGTCGACTCACCGCTCGCCTGCTGGTTGGAGAAAGGTCTGGTTCCCTCCCTTCCTTTTTCCTCCCCTTGCCACGCTTCTCCCTCCTATTCCCCCCACTCACCACCCTGTCTCCCTCTCGTTCCTCTCCGCCCGCCACCCGTTTCTTTTGTTTTCCGCTCCCTTGCCGCTATGCCCCTTCCCGCAGCTCTACTACGTGAAGAAGCCCGATGAGAAGACTCCAAGGGGAGTCATTCCTCTTGAGGTAAGGCACCATTAGTTTCTCTCTATAGGGCGGGTTGGGGAGGGAGTGTAGTGCTTGTTCCCCGCTGTGTCCCTTGTGCCCCGCCTAACAGCTCTACTATGTGAAGAAGCCTGACGAGAAGAGTCTAGGGGAGTCATTCCCCTCAAGGTAAAGCCCCAGCGGTGTCACGTTGAGATGGGCTATGGAGGAAGGAAGGTAGTGGCTGTGATCAGAATAGTGGTAAGGCGGCAATTGTTTTTTTTTTTTCCTCTGCATTTTCTTCTTCTTCTTGGGTGGGGGGTGTTAAAATATGTCCGCCAGGATCTTCTCTGTAGGTGGGATAAATATGGCAGGAAGGAGTACATTTTTCAGGAGTACTCTTACCTGCTTCTTTTCTTTTCTGTCCCCATTCTTCCAGTATTGGCTACAGGATTGCCGCACAGTGGACGAATTCGAATGCTTCCTGAATAATTTCCCTCTACCCCTATTTTTTCCCCGTTATTGCAATGCTCGTTACAGGATTGCATAATAGACGAGATAGTGCCGCCAGAGGAGGTGCCATCAGCGTCAGACATCAAGGCAGGGTCCAACCCCTCGGCACAGGCACTCTCCTTCAAGATCGGCAACAGAGTGCCGTACAAGACAGTGGTCAAAGGTGGGTCAACGCTGGTCAAAGGTGGGTCAACGCTGGTCAAAGGTGGGTCAACGCTGGTCAAAGGTGGGTCAACGCTGGTCAAAGGTGGGTCAACACTGGTCAAAGGTTGGTCAACGCTGGTCAAAGGTGGGTCAACGCTGGTCAAAGGTGGGTCAACGCTGGTCAAAGGTGGGTCAACGCTGGTGAAAGGTGGTGTAACTGGGGCAAAGTGAATAAACTATGGCCAACTCAAACGAATGTTCCCGCTTGTCACGTGTGACAAGCCTTTGGTGAAAGGCATGCTCTAACAGCTGTGATCACCCCATGTTCGCGAGCATGGGCAGCAACACACCAAGACGGTCAACTCAAGACCCCTTGAATCCTAAGTGACCATATACGCGTTTAGCGTATATACGCGTGTCGTATATACGCTCGCGTTTATACGCTATACGCAGAGGTCCCGAGACCCTCGATACGCTATTTCGGGCAGGTTTTAAAAAAGTTCGGGCAGCTAAATTTTGACCCCCCTGATATACTTCTGGGGTCAGTTTCCACAGGGGTTGGATTTCCCAGATTTTTTTCCCGACTCAAACTTATTCACCACCAACATTACAATGACACATACTCATCTCATACTACTACCACACATACTACTACTCACGCTACTCCATCAATAACGCCACCTACTCATACTCATCCTCCAGAATGTCGTCTTCCCCCTCCTCCTCCTCCTCGTCCCCCTCCACCACATTGTAGCCCTCGGGCACGGGAGGCTCCGGCATGTTTCCGAGCACCACACCCGGCATGACATCTGCACGGGAATGCCACTTGCGCACAACGTTCCAGTTGTGCGCAACAAAAACCAAATCCCGGCACTTGGCAGAGCCAAGCCGGTTCCGGCGGGCCGTGTGCACCCCCTCCCACGTTGACCATCCCCTCTCACATGGTGAAGCTGACACGGGCTGAGAGAGAGTCCTGATGGCGAGGGCCGCCAGCTTTGGTGCGTCAGTGCCGTGCCACTGCCACCACTTTACCATGTCATACTTGCCCTCCTTGACCAAGTTCCTCTGAGCAATTGCATCCCCCATCCCGAAACTTCCCTTCATATCCAGAAATGCCCTCACCCCGTCCTGCAGTTCCATCAAAACCTCCCCAATGTCATCCCCATCTTCCCCCTCCTTCCCGTGATTGCAAAGGTGCTCGGCGTGCTGAGTGATGAAGGCTTTGAATACCTTTGTGCACTCCGCGTCTGAGCCGAAGATGTCCTCATCCTGGTTCGCCGGGTTGAGAATCCTCCCCGCAACGTGCATGGGGCAGGCGAGGCTGCCGTCCCACCTGTCCCTCAGCAGGCGGCGGATCTGCACCTTGTCGGAGTGGGAGAGCTGCTCCTCATCCTCCTCCACCACTGTCCCCACATCCTCGGTCAACTGCAACATAATGTCATACATACGGCCCATGATCCCCTTGGCATCCGCATCGGTCTTACGCATTGCGAAGAACGGGAGCTTCATCAACTTGCAGAAAAACTCCGCCGTCTTCCACCACGCGTCATCAAGAATTTGCGCTGCAAATTTCTCCGCAGGCTTCTTCCTGTCCCCAACTGCCCAGCCCTTCCACACATCGGACACCACCATCTGTGCAAGCGACTGCCGCAGCTGACAGAGACGGGACACAACAATGTATTGTGTCCCGAATCTGGTTCCCGCCGGTTTCAGCGCCTGCAGCATCCTTGCACCCACCATTTGCGGGTTCCGCAAGTATCCCCTCGTCCAGTGGTGGTTGCGGACGAAGGAGCTGATATCGCCCGCAGGGTCCACCACATTCTTGGCCCACGGCATCTTGCCGACGTCCTCCATGAAGAGGTCCAACACGTGGGTGCCGCAGGGCACGTGTTGAATGTGCGGCCATTCCGCGATCAGTTGGTTGCACGCCACTGCGTAGTTGGACCCCCCGTCCGTGCAGAACGCCACCACGTTCTCCGGTCCGACCTCCTCCACCACGGGCCTGAGGATGCTGGCGACGTAACCGCCGGTCTTACTCTCCATGCGGCAGTCCACGCAGTCCTTGAACACCGCGCCACTCTCGTTGACGAGAAACACGTTCGCCTGGGGGCGACCGTTCTTATCGGTCATCATGTCAGAAGAAATTGTCACGCCGGTCCGCTTCCAGCTCGCCTTCACTCCAGAAAGCCCCCTGTCGATGCTGTCGCAGCACAGTCGCAAGCCCGCCCCGCCGATGAACCCCTTCTTTGGTGGGACGTATCCTGTGCCGGCGTCCCGAATGGCACAAACGGCGTTGATGAAGAGCGGGTGATCCGCGACGCGCTCAGGGATGCGACACCCCGCGAACATGAGCGCCAACGCCTCATGTGCTTCGCGCTTCCCAGCTGCCGCATCCGTCTCCAAGTAGTCAGTAATGCGGCTCCTTTTGCCGCTGCTGGTAACCGAGGCAATGGCATCCGATGTCGCCTCGCGGCGCAAAGCCGCCGCTGCAGCCTTAGCCTCGTATTTCTTCCGCATGGCCGCCCGCGCTTCAGGGGGGGCTTCCTTGCATAGCGCCACTTCGCGGCGCTTCATCTTCCGCCAACTCGCCAAGTGCTGCGCGCAGCGGATGGCGGCACCAGAAAAAACATTGCAGCAGTACCTGCACTCGTACTGCTGCGATTTCCCCTCGTCCACCTTTATGCGGCGGAAATGCTTGAACACCTCGTGGTCGACATCTGGAAGGTAAACTCGCGTCGCACGATCAGGACCGGCCGTGCCGGTATCAGGAGGGGGAGTGGGCTGGGTCGGGTTAACAACTGCAGAAGCCATTCTAAGGAGCTCTGAACAATGACGGGAGGATGAATTGACGAGAGAGAATTATACCTGCTTGTAGCGTGGGATTTGTTGGTGGGAACAAAGTTGGATTGGAGGGAGGTTGTAGATCGAGAGCGGTTGAAATGGGTGGAACCCCAATGTGAAATGTCAAGGACATCGCGACTCCAAAGACTGGTGCCACGTAACCCAACTCACAATCCCGGCGCCGCGAATTGAAAGCATGGAAACAAACCCACCTCCACACATTGAAGGCACGTCCAGGCCAGGGTAGACCTCGGACGTGTATTTCGAGCACGGCATCTTCTTCGCCGTGAAAAGACGGAACTTTCTAGATATACTCGAAAATTTTCGATTTTGGGCAGCCCAAAAAAAAACCCCCGAGCGTATTGCGTATTCGTTAGCGTATAGCGTTTTGCGTGTATACGCAAGCGGATAAACGCTATACGCTTAAAGGCAAAAGCGTTTTTGGTCACCTAGCTTGAATCCTGCCTCCTCTCACTCCCTCCCGACTCTCCATCCTCATCCTTCTATACGTTGCCCCCCTCCCCCTCCCATCACCCTCCCCTCCCCTGGTACACCAGTCGCTCATTCTCTGGGCAGACGACCTGGCGGGGAAGCAGCAGTGGGTAGCTCGCCCCTTCTTCCTCTCTTGTCCCATGATACTCTACATCCTCCCTCCTCCCCCCCCCAAAACCCCAAACCCCTTTCATCCTGCGGGCAGACAACATGGCAGAGAAGCAGCAGTGGGTGGCACTGCTTGCTCACTCTCCTTCTCTGCTCTGCTTCTCACCTACCCCTGGATGTCGCGTCCCTCCCTCCTTCCCTCCCCACCAGTGCACCAGTCGCTCATCCTGCGGGCAGACAACATGGCGGAGAAGCAGCAGTGGGTGGCGCGGCTTTCTCGCCTCCCGATGCCTTCCCATCTCTCCTTTCATTCTCTTCCCTGTCCCCCTCTCTCTCCACCAGTCCACCAGTCGCTCATCCTGCGGGCAGACAACATGGCGGAGAAGCAGCAGTGGGTGGCGCGTCTGCGCAGCCACACCAAGGCCTTCAAGGAAGGCCCGCCTCCGCCTCCCCCTCCCCCCCTGTCTTCCCGTCCCCACCCGCCAGTCCACCAGTCGCTCATACTCCGGGCAGACAACATGGCGGAGAAGCAGCAGTGGGTGGCGAAGCTTGCTCACTTCCCCCTCCCCTGTCACCTACCCCTGCATGTTGCCCCCCCCTCTCCAGTCCACCAGTCGCTCATCCTGTGGGCAGACAACATGGCCGAGAAGCAGCAGTGGGTGGCGCGGCTTGCTCACTCTTCTTTCTGCTCTGCTTCTCACCTACCCCTGCATGTCGCCTTCCCCCTCCCCTCCCTCCCCCCCAACCCCCAGTCCACCAGTCGCTCATCCTGCGGGCAGACAACATGGCGGAGAAGCAGCAGTGGGTGGCGCGCCTGCGCAGCCACACCAAGGCCTTCAAGGACGCGCCACCCCCGCCCCCCCCTTCCTCTTCTACCGGGGGCGACACCGACCAGACAGGGGACGACAGCAGCAGCAGGGATGGTGGTGACTCTGCTGGTAGTGGCGCTGGTGGGGGGGGGAGCATTGTGCCTGGGGCGCTGGGGCAGGGAGGGGGAGGGGTGGCGGGGGCGGGGCGGGTGGCGAATCTGGAGGAGGAGCTGCGGTACCAGGTGACGGAGGTGCGGCGATATGTGCAAGCGGTTCTTGTTCACCTTGCCGACAACATTCCCAAGGTGGGTCAGTGCTTGTGTGAGACAGGGCGATGGGGTATTCAAGGGTGTATTGGCTGCGGTATCATATCAGGTGACGGAGGTGCGGCGATACGTGCAGGCGGTTCTAGTGCACCTGGCTGACAACATTCCCAAGGTGAGGCCCTGTGTGTGTGAGACAGTGAAATGAGGCATTCATGAGTGTATTGGCTGCGGTACCAGGTGACGGAGGTGCGGCGATACGTGCAGGCAGTGCTCGTGCATCTGGCTGACAACATTCTCAAGATGAGGCTCTGTGCATGTGCGAATTAGTGCCTGTGTGTGTGCCTGTGTTTCAACCACCCCTTACCCCCCACCCACGCCCCTTCCCTCTTCAACCACCACCACCACCTCACATCAGGCCATTTTATTTGCTCGGGTAGAAAGGGCGCGGGACTCGATGTAGACGACGTTGTACCAGACTTTAAAGGTGCATAGGCATGCTCTCACTCCCTCTCCTTCCTCTCCCTTCTTGCTCTCCCTCCTCCACCCCCCCACACGCCACAACACATCAGGCCATTGTATTAGCTCAGGTGGAGCAGGCGCGGGACTTGATGTAGACGAAGCTGTACCAGACTGTAAAGGTGCATAGACATGCCCTCACTCCCTCTCATCTCCTCTTTTCCCCCGCCACCCCCCAACCACCACGCCACCATCATCAGGCGATATTGCTAGCTCAGGTGGAGCGAGCACGGGATTCCATGCTGACGAAGCTGTACCAGACGGTGAAGCTGCATAGGCATGCCCTCACTCCCTCTCCTTCCTCTCCCTCCTCCACCCCCCACACACACCACAACACATCAGGCCATTGTGTTAGCTCAGGTGGAGCGGGCGCGAGATTCAATGCTCACGAAGCTGTACCAGACAGTGAGCGGCATGTCAGACGACAAGCTGCATTCAATGCTGCAGGAGGACGCGGAGAGCGCAGGCAAGCCTTGAACTCCCTCCCTCTCCTTCCCCTCCCTCTCCCCGTCCCCACCACCATCTCCACCACCACTGCTCCGCTCTCCCTTCTCTCCTTCCCCTCCCTTTTCCCCTTCCCCACCAACACAACAACACATCAGGCGATAGTGCTAGCTCAGGTGGAGCGGGCGCGGGATTCAATGCTAACGAAGCTGTACCAGACAGTGAGCGGCATGTCAGACGACCGGCTGCATTCAATGCTGCAGGAGGACGCGGAGAGCGCTGGCAAGCGCGACAAGTTCAAGCGCATGCGTGATGCCATGCTGCAACTCAAGCGGGCTCTCAGTCTGCACGAGGCACGGGCATCTGCTGAGGATGAAGGGCAAGGTGAGTGTCCGTGGTTGGAAGGAGTTGTACTCTTTCTCTCAAGCGCATGTGCGATGCCATGCTGCAGCTGAAGAGGGCGCTCAGCCTGCATGAGGCACGGGCGTCTGCTGAGGATGAGGGGCAAGGTGGGTGTCTGGTTCAGGAGTAACCGCTCCCTCTGTGTCTATCTATTGCAAGCGCGACAAGTTCAAGCGCATGCGCGATGCCATGCTGCAACTCAAGAGTGCTCTCAGCCTGCATGAGGCACGGGCATCTGCTGAGGATGAAGGGCAAGGTGAGTGTCCGTGGTTGGAAGGAGTTGTACTCTTTCTCTCAAGCGCATGTGCGATGCCATGCTGCAGCTGAAGAGGGCGCTCAGCCTGCATGAGGCACGGGCGTCTGCTGAGGATGAGGGGCAAGGTGGGTGTCTGGTTCAGGAGTAACCGCTCCCTCTGTGTCTATCTATTGCAAGCGCGACAAGTTCAAGCGCATGCGCGATGCCATGCTGCAACTCAAGAGTGCTCTCAGCCTGCATGAGGCACGGGCATCTGCTGAGGATGAAGGGCAAGGTGAGTGTCCGTGGTTGGAAGGAGTTGTACTCTTTCTCTCAAGCGCATGTGCGATGCCATGCTGCAGCTGAAGAGGGCGCTCAGCCTACATGAGGCACGGGCGTCTGCTGAGGATGAGGGGCAAGGTGGGTGTCTGGTTCAGGAGTAACCGCTCCCTCTATGTCTATCTATTGCAAGCGCGACAAGTTCAAGCGCATGCGCGATGCCATGCTGCAACTCAAGAGTGCTCTCAGCCTGCATGAGGCACGGGCATCTGCTGAGGATGAAGGGCAAGGTGAGTGTCCGTGGTTGGAAGGAGTTGTACTCTTTCTCTCAAGCGCATGTGCGATGCCATGCTGCAGCTGAAGAGGGCGCTCAGCCTGCATGAGGCACGGGCGTCTGCTGAGGATGAGGGGCAAGGTGGGTGTCTGGTTCAGGAGTAACCGCTCCCTCTGTGTCTATCTATTGCAAGCGCGGCAAGTTCAAGCGCATGCGCGATGCCATGCTGCAACTCAAGAGGGCTCTCAGCCTGCACGAGGCACGGGCATCTGCTGAGGATGAAGGGCAAGGTGAGTGTCTGTGTTTTAATATCTCCCTGTGCCGTGTGCATTCGTCTCTGTGCCATTTTTATCCCTCTCTGTGCCATGTCCAATTAACTGTCCACTTCACACCCTCTCTCGGTGCCATGCCGTGCCATGCCTTGCCATCCTTGCTGCCTGTCCCACCAGGCACCAAGGAGACAGTGGACGCGTGGAGAACAGCGTTCAACAAGGCCGCCCCTGCTGCTCCCACAATCTCAGAAGAGCCCTCAACAGATTCCAGCCCCCTTCCCTCCCCCTCTTCTCGAAAAACGCCCCCACCACCACCCTCCTCCTCTTCCTCATCATCATCCTCCTCCTCATCCAAACCTTCCAAATCCTCAGCTTCGGCAGCCGTAGCAGCCGCTGCAGCAGCAGCGGCCGGTGCTGCTGCTGCATCTCCCACCCCTCCCACCTCATCCGCAGCAGCAGGAGCAGCAGCAGCAGCAGCAGCAGCAGCAGGGGCTCCTTATGGTATCTCACATGCCTCTTCCTTCCAGCCCTCCCGCTCCTCCTCCGCCAATCAACAGCCGCCAGCTATCACCCGCGGCATGACCATGGGCTCAGTGCCCAACCCGCTAGGCGCGGGGGTTCCCGGAGCTATGGTCCCAGGTCCGGTGATGGCTCGGGGGCCACCAATGGTCCCGTCTGCAAGCACTGCCAGGAGTGCAAGTCCGCTGCGGCAGACTCTGGCAGGGGGGATGGATGCAGGAGGGGGGATGGGGAACCCCTTGCGCGCCACGTCTAGGAGAGCCCCCCCTGGCCCACCCACTGGTTTCAGCTTCAAGTAACTTACGCGGCGATTCGAGCGACCCGTTACAAGGTGCACACTGCTCTGCTCTGCCCGACCCTGGTTTCAGCTTCAGGCAACCGTACTTCGTGCAAACCCAACAAAGGAGGCCAGGGGGCCAGGGGCACAGAGCACTTAGCATTCTGGGCTGTCAATTGTCACTCTGAGTGCTTGATGTGCCGTCACATCACATAGTTTGATTTCCTTGTGGAGGTGAGGAACGAATGAGTGTAGGAGTACTATCAAAACTCTTCATGTGGCCAAGTTGTCAGGTTGTTGCCAGTGTAGGGTATAGTCTAGGGCCAGTTTTTTACAATGTCTTTCGCCGTATGTGTAAGGAAGTTCTGAGTACATTTGTTGAACCTACCGGTAATTGAGCAATGTGGACCACCTTGACTCCATGGAATCCCTAAACAGATGTCGGTTCACCTGCAAAGGGTTCTGAAAAAGGACCTTGGCAAAAACTTCTGCAGGGTGCATTTAGAACCCAAATGCACTCAGGCATGTACTGTAGAAGTCTAAGCATATTCAAGTCAGATTATTCAAGAGATGGTACACCAAATTCCACACCATGGCTTCTCCCACAACCCCCTCATACCTTCCATCCGTTTCCGTATTATTCTTGCCTTTCGCAGCTTCGGCAAAGCAGGTGTGGTGCGGATCCTTTGGCCCGCACGTATCATCGGGGCGAGGGGCTGCGATGAGCCAATCATTGAGAAGCTGCAGCCCATAGCGTCCCAAGTGCCCGGCAACAACTCTGTTCATGTGTGAAATGAGCGTGTTTGTTCCGTCGTAACAGAAGTCGTTCAGCCGTCTTGGAGGGATGCTTCGGAACAGAAACCACGGGCCTGCCCTGGCAGATAGCGCCAAGGTTTGATTTCCCTGCTGCTGCTTCTTCTGCTGCTGCTGCTGCTGCTGCGGCGGCAGCGGCGGCGGCTGCCGCTGCGCCTGCATTGCCAGTTCCCTCTGAGAGTAAACCCACTGCAGGTAGTTGGGGAGGTAATACCCCAAGGCGTTCTCCGGCTCGGCGCAGAAAATCGTCATCCAGAAGCCGCCGTCTACAAGCGTCACACTGGCTGTCGTGGAAATGTTTGGAAACTTTAGCAGATCGAATTTCGTGACGTTCTTATAGCTGCACGGTGATTACAGTGAAGGGAGGAGTGGCAGGAAGGATGGAAAGGCACGTGTAGTGTGTTTAGAGACTTGAACTCCGGGAATAATTGAGCGACGCAAAGACTAAAGCTACAAGGACAGCAAATGATCTGCCATTCAGCTTAGAGCCATGATCCATGAATTCAGGAAGGATGGGAAGGCACGTAGAGTGTGATAAGAGCCTTAAACTATCTGAGATCTAGCCATGCCCTGCTACTCAACTGAAAGCTGAACGCCACAAAAATAAGCGATGAAAACCATGGAATGGGAGAGAACAACACTGATAAGAGGAAAGGGAAAAACAATCAAGCTTTGATCCCACACTGCACCTGCAGCCAAAAGGCCCGTCGATGTAAGTCCCTCCGATCCAATAGAAATTGAGCTTCAGAGGCTGCAAATCTGGGCTAGGGGGCGGCACGACCAACTGAAGGTCTGCATAGTAATGTACAGTTGACGCATTAGCCTTGCCTGTAAAAAGGAAATAGAGGTGATGGTAGAGGAAGCGCACGTGAGAATCCCCGACAAAGTTAATCTCAAAAATACCCCGAGATTGGAGGGAGGAGAGCCATTGTGAGGCGGGGGGGAGGGGGTGCGCGCACGGGTAGAGTTGCCACTCGTAGGCCCGCTTCTGTGCGTTGAACAGCCACCGGCCGTGGATGGCGTGGTCGCATGGCGAATCTGGACCGTACGTTGCATCGAGGGAGGATCTGTTGCTGGGTTGGGACTCTGTGGTAGGAGCTGGTCCTGGTTCGGTAGCAGGTTTGGTGGATGGGTTGGTAACGGATTCGGTGGATGAGTTGGTAGCTGATTCGGTGGTTGGTTCGGTAGCTGGTTCGGTGGGTGTGGAAACTGGACCGGCGGATGGTTTGGCGGGTGGGTGGACAGTGAGAAACCATTCAGTCATGACATGCGATTTTGTCTTTCGGACCCGACGCAAGTAGTCTGACGCAAAGTCCAGCATGTCGCACTCTGATTGGACGCGGACACTGGTTGATTGGGGGATGGCGTGGAGGGGTGAAGAAAGAAAGAAGGGCATATAAGATTACCAATAGTGAGCATGTGAAGGCTGAACTGAAGTGGGGAGGAAGGGATGGGGAGGGAACGGAATAAGAAGCACGAATTACCCAACCCATCCATTTCCCCACACCCACTCTCCTCACCCTTCACCTGCTACCCGTCGTTACCCCCAGTACCCTCCTTCCACGTTCCCTGCCTCCTCCCTCCTTCCCCGTCCCCCTCCCCCACTCTTCCCCTCCCCAACTTCCCCATTTCCTCCCTCACTCCTTCCTTCCCCCTCCCTCTTTCCCTCCTTCCCTCCCCCTCCGCGCAAGCCTCACCTGTAGTCACCAGCATCCCACACTCGATAAGTGACTCGCCAGCGCGTGACGTCACCGTCCTCTGTAGTCACATCCGCTATAACCAAGGCAGGCCCCATCAGCCTCACCACCAGCGACTCGAGCATCCCACCCATACCTATCCGCGCGCCGCTGCTGCTGCTGCCGCCGCCGCCGCCGCCTGTATGTCTCATCGACCACGCCTTTTTGCCTTGTGCAATCTGGCTCAGCCGGGCTTTATGAGGAACCCATTTGGCGGGAGGTCTGACGGCGATTTCGAACGCGCAAAGCTCGCCCACCGTGCAACGGGAGCAACCCCCGCCGAAAATCGAAATTCCTCCCCTTTGTCGCGCCCGAATGGTCTCCTCCGCGTTTCCTGCTTGCATGCTACCATTCTGCAGCGTCTCGCCATGATTCGACTCTTTCACGCCATTGGTTCCCGACGAGTCGGCCCCGCTGTACCCGCCATGGTCCCCGGACCACCAGCAAATCGGATCGTATTTTACTGGATTTTCCAGAACTTGGCATTTCTCCTGGTTCGTAGCCACGTCAGCGCCGGTGAAGTTACCCTGTTCTTTCGCGTTCAGTGACGGTTCGCCGGATTGGTTTGCCGCGGAAAGCGCGCCGTGCCAAAGGTGGACGCTTGGTGGGTCAGTGTACAGCGTATACGGGTCTATGAAGAAGCTGTAGAATAGTAACGGAACTACCGCTATCGCGAATAGCGCCAGCAAGACCACACAAGGTACAAGCCAAGATTGTCTCGAATCATGAGCTAAGGAAGCTGCCATGGCGAGGCTTCGTCCGACAAAATAGTCGTCAACTTGAGAGCAATCATCTCGTGAGAATCGAGATAATTGACACGAGTTTGTACGGGCCTAGATTATGATCCCACGATACCATATCATGGCGAGCACAGCATCCCCTCCCATCGCGCAGTAGTTCAGTTTTCGCTCAGGCCTTATTCTCGATACAGTTTTAGGGCGGGTCTTCGTCAAAAGGCAAAATCGTTACACGCCCTAATTTTCGCCAGCATTTGAAAACGTTTCAAGTTTGGGGCGGAGGGAAATGATTGGGTCTGGGACATTTTTGGGGCCGCAACATTCTGCTGCAAATGTGACCCTGTGCTGAGCACCGTGCACGGAGCGGTGGGAAGGGCGGTTGTTTGTGCCAAAAGTCTCCGCGAACCTGCGGACCAGAAAGGAGTAACCAGCTCTTCCTGCCGCTGACCGGAAAGGAGTAAATCAAATTGAGAAAGCTTGCTTTCTGATTATTGCAAGGCAACGTGCTTCATTTTAATTGGGGTAATTACAACATTCTCGTCCAACTTAAACATTACATAAACATCAACTAGGGGTGGGCGGGGGGGAAGTGGAACTGAAAAGTTCCGAAATGAAGACGTGGGTGGAGGCCGAATGGCCTCCAACCCTCGTTATGTACTCGGGAAGAGGCATTCGCAGTTGCCTTGCTTCACTACAGTCAGTTGCGCTTTCAAATTATTTATTTTTAGAAAGTGTTTCACACTTTCAAAAAAAATCATATTGAGAAAGCTTGCTTTCTGATTATTGCAAGGCAACGTGCTTCATTTTAATTGGGTCCTCTGAGACATGTGCGTGCGTGGGCTAAGTGTAGATCGCGAAGCCGGTTGATGGTGATGTCCATTGATATCAGTTGTTGGTGCAGGTCGTTGCATTTCATGTCGATGTGGTTATGCGAGTTGCTCCCTCCTTTGGTAGATGTCTCTAGCCTGTAGTGGGGTGCTCTATAGCGAGTACAACCCTTCTAGGGTTTGCTATTTGTATCCTCATTCTTGCTAGTGCAACCTCTCTTCTTCCTACTATTTTAACATGGTATCAGAGCAGGTCGATCCCCTTGGATCGATCCTGTGGGTGGTCTTACCACCTCGTTGCTTCCGCTGCAACTTCCACTGCTACCCTCTGTGCCGCACGCCCCGTGGCGTGCGGCAGTTTTTCTTCCCGCCGTGCGCCCCGAGGCGCGCGGCGGTTTTCTGCCCGCCGTGCGCCCCGTGGCGCGCGGCGGTTCTCTGCCCGCTGTGCGCCCCGAGGCGCGCGGCGGGCTTCTGCCCCGTCACTCGGCGCGTCGCCCTCGGGAGGCGCTGCGACGGGCGACGGGGACCCGCGCGTCGCCCCCCGTCGCCCGTCGTGGCCTGCGCGCGGCCCGTACAGGCTGCGCGCGGCCCGTACAGGCTGCGCGCGGCCCGTAAGGGCTGCGCCAGGCCCGGACGCGGCCCGTACGGGCTGCGCCAGGCCAGCGCGCGGCCCGTACGGGCTGCGCCAGGCCCGCGCGCGGCCCGTACGGGCTGCGCCAGGCCCGCGCGCGGCTCGGGCCGCCTGCGCGCGGTTCGGGCGGCTGTGCCAGGCCCGTGGGCGGCCCTTTCCTCGCTGCCCCTGCCCTCCCCGCTGTCCCCCGTGCTTCTACTGGCGCCCCACCCCTCCTACAGCCCGTTCTCCTGAATTAGGGTTTGGGGGTGAGGGGTATGGGGGTGAAGCCACTGTGT